GCGAGGGCTCACTCCCCGTCAGCGGCGAGGGCTCACTCTTCGTCAGCGGCTATGGCTCACTCTCCGTCAGCGGCGAGGGCTCACTCTCCGTCAGCAGTGAGGATACAGCACGGTAGATCGCGAGTCGCTTCTTGATCTAACACGGTGGCTGCTTGGTTGCCGTAAGCTGTTCTCCGGCAATCTGGTGTGGTCCATACTTTTCAGATAGAGGCAGAGCGTGCGGAGCTATTACCTGCAATTTTCAGAAAATTCTAACAAAAATTACAAGTTTAAATTTTTAATGTTTGAGATATGTCGTCGTTGACGACCGCTCCAATCTAAATGTAGTGCCCCGAATGGTCAGGATTCGTCTTCTTCACCCCTTATAATTTTTAATAGCCCGGAGCTATTATTTTCTCTCTCTTATTTTCTAGGCCTCCGAGCATTGACACTGCACGAACATCTCAATTTTGGAAGGGAAAAGGGGCAAAAATGACCCTAGTGTTTTATTTTAGGTGGAAATATGACCCTAAACTTTTTTTGGGGTGATATACATCCAAAAATTAAGTTTTTTGATGAATCAAGCCCCTCCACTCACGGTGCCATTACTTTTCACGCATAAGCCAACGTAATTGACCCTACAACAACATACGACTTAATTAAAATGGAGCAACATTTTATCTTTAGATGCTCAAATGACGGCCGCTGTTTTTTATCGCCGGCAACGGCGGGAAGGGTTTAAACTTTGGACCTTTTGCTTTTCTTCTTAGATGCAATGTTTTTTCCCTCAGATGCGGTGTTAAGCTTTGAAGATTTAGACCGTACAAGAAAGGTAATATGTGCAATCATGTTTCTTTTTCATTTTTGTATGTTCTTCTTAAATCTAGAATTATGGATGATTTTATCATATTACTTAGTATTTAAATTGATTTCTACTTGGAGTGAATCTATATCCTTTGTGTTTTCAATTGAGTGAGTTTGTAATTGCAAGGGAGAACATTAATTTTGAACAAAGCTGGGTTTATTAAAGAAGATTATGTAGAGTGTTTCAGAGATTTTGTTTTATTCGTTCTTGAATCTAATTTTTGTGAGCCGAATAAGTTTTATCAATTTGAATATGTGATTTTTGCATGTTTGATATTGTCCTCATAATAAAAATCCTATGTTATTTGTGTGTAGGATGATTAATATTTGCAATTTTAAGTTTCACCATGGCGGTTCATGGGTTTATAATAGACATTTGGAATATCAGTATGATGAAGCTGATGTTATAACAAATTCTGATGATGATTTTCTTAGCTTTGAAACCACCTGCAATGGCAGTAATGTAGTTTTGAATGCCTCAATTAGTTAGATATTTTCTGTTTAGTTAAACCTGTGAATTCTAGCATCTATTTATGTATGTCAGTTTTTTTAATCGGATTTTATTGGGCAGCTTTTTTGTACTCGTCCCATATTTATCTTCTTATTTGACTGGACACATGTTTTAAGATAATGGGAAATGTGTGGTGGAGAAGTGTGCAGAAGAGAGAGAAATGTGTAAGAATGTGTGAGAATGGTTGTGAACCACAAATTCTTTGCCAAAAAGAGGAGGAGATAAATTTGTGACGGACCGAAATGGAAAGAATGAAGATAATTTAGGGACAATGGGGAGTACTATAAACTACATTTAGAGGCCGTTTGACAACATTGTTTTTCGGCTTATCAAGTTTGTCATCCAACTTTTTCACCAAACACATAATTTTTGATTTCGCGCGTTGAATTGTGTAATAAGCAGAAAAAATATGGTTAAAGTTACTTTTCTGGCTGTATTGGCTGAGGTTATTACAGATGATCATTTTAGCCAATTTTACATATAGTTTTTTCTTGATTTTATTAATAAAATGTATTTCAAATAGTTTTTTCTTAAATAAGCAGAATCTGCCAATGCAATCACTTCAGTCAGAACTTCATAAATTTCAGCAGAATCATCTAAAATAGTCGATTTTGGTGCTAACAAACGGGTTCTTAATACTTTTATATACTTCAGCCTTTCTTTCCTTTTTTTGTAGAGGCTTATTTAATTTTAAAGTAGATAAAGCAGTTTAATTTTTTCGTATGGAATCATCACTGGACAGAGTATAAGAAATGACCCCGTATTACATTCTTCCGTAGGTATAATGCCTACAGTTAATATACTTCCGTTAGTGGAGGTGCCTAGATCTTAAAAAAACATACTTTTTAAGTCTATAACTCTATATCACCCCCAAAACAAAAAAGTTTAGGATCATATCTCCGCTTAGGGTAAAACATTGGTCATTTTTGCCCCTTTTCCAATTTTGGAAGGAGTATTTACTATCCAATTTGGGTTTTGTTTGACCTAGTCAACATAGCCCCTTACCCTGCTGCCAAAAACGTCCAACAATCTTCACCGCTGGTCGACTAGCCTGCGACACAGAGAGAAGATGGTGACACCGAGGATAGCCGCACCTGGCGGCGCTGTGACTGGCTATTGGAGGCGTTGTGAGAGGCATGAGCGCAGAGCATCGGAGATAAAACCTAGGCTCAAAGATCTGCTTCCCACGAACTTCAAGTCTCCATTAATGGCATCGCACCTTGGTCTGCGAAATCAAACTGAGAGCCTGTTGCTTTGATCCATCGCATCTCACACTCGTATCTAGTACTTTAACCCGTCGGCTTACATTTGTGAGAACCAGGCAGAGACTGATGACGCGGCGACGGGGCAGAGGAGCGAGCCTCTGGCGGTGACCATGACCGATCGTCGTAGCTATGGCCGACGGAGGCCAGAACTCCGGCCTTTCTGGCGATGACGGCTACAACCTGGAGCGACGGCTAGTGATCAGACCCAGGGCTTCGACGACGAGTTCTAGACTGATGGGGCACCACGGTGACATGGAGGGTTCCGGCAGCTCCGATTTCCAGACCTGGGATTTCAGATTTCAACCGACTTTGCATAGCGGCGGTGGGGCAATATGTCCGGCTCGATTCAGAACCTCCGGCTCTTCAACTCTAGATTTGGATCTTGCTGAATTATTTCAGATTCATTTTTTTTGAATGATGAATTTGCGACTTTCTAGAGCAATTTTTACTTGATTGCTGCTTGAATTTCCCTAAATTCCTACCTAGAAATGCGAGAGATGACTCTCAACGAAAGCACCAATGTTGGTAAAAAATAATCCGGATAGAGAATTCGGCAGCATTTTAGTATAGTGAGAATAGCTTAGGAGAATACAAAGGGTTGGTGGCCTATTTATAGGCGTATACAACAGGCCCACCAATTAGATGTTACATGGACTTGACCCGATTTATCAACTAATACTAACGATAATGGGCCAGTCAACCTGATAAGTAATTCAATAACCCCGAACCAGTATCTGCTAGCCAGACTGTGTTCTGAACTTGGTCGGACCAAAGCTCAGGTGTAACGGGCCAATATTCTTGGACCCGGCCCATTATCCCAACACTAATATCATAAAGTCCTAAGTAGAGCACATTGGTCTTCAATTGAAATTATCCAAGAAAACGTTGTAGCATAATAATAGTAAAATGAACTTCGACCGGGTCGGAGACTATCAGGTTTGAGGTTTTAATTCTGCAACCCTACCATTAGGGTCGGGGTAGGGTTGGGTTGGGCGGGTTATGCGGGTTCGAGTTATTCTTGTGCAGCCCTAGGTGACATAGCTCTTAGAGATTCTGGTTAGGGGTATGACCCAACTTGATTGTTTTTCTTTTGTTGTTGTGTTTGTTCTATTCTATGGCCCGTGCACTGACGCTTCAGTGTGTTTTGTCTTCCTCGGTGTGAGTAGTTGCGTTGTTGTCCTGACCAATTTCGCCTGGAGTTTCTATCTACCTTCTTTTGGACCGCCTAGAGAATGGTAGAGGCATAAAGAGTGTTTTTGACTCCACCTATTTTTACGTCTATTCAGAACGAAATAAGAAGAAGAATTTAGCATTTATTCATATTGTAGTGCCTTGTCCTCCTCCAGAACCCCCTCCGTGCCGGGAAGGTTTTATTGGGAAATTTTTATTGTAGTATTATATTTTTTTAGTAGTACTTGTTTTATTTTAGTTTGAGTATGTTTGGTTTGAATATTTGGAGTTTTTTTTAAAGACATTGTTTCGGTTCCAGTCATTTTAGTGCTAAAATTGATCGTAACGTGTTTAACGAGTCAGATTGCTTTGTATGGGGTGATTGAATCTATGTCTATTTCTAGGGCTTATAATCAGATCTATAATAACTGTTTGGAGGTTATCTTGTATGTTTTTTCAATATTAATATAAAAGCCGCTCTTTTATATTCCCTCCATATTTAAAAGTTCACTACAATATATCTAGACACATTATGAATAGTAGATGTAATGAATTGTGTAAAAAAATAGGAGAGACTGTGAAAGAGTATGAACGAGAAGATAAAAAGTAGAAAACGTAAGAGTTATTGAATATCGAAATATATTTAAAGAAAACATTTATCAAAAGGAAAAAATGTAACAAACTTTTAAATACATCCTTAAAACAAAAATGTAACAAACTTTAAGATAGGGACAAGGGCAATGAAACATGTTAATCTATAAGAAGTGCACTATTGATTTTTGAGGTGCATCAGGCAATCCACTCAAAATTGTTATGACTCAGAGCGCGTTTGGTAGCTCGAAAATCGGCTGATTTAACTGATTCTGCTGAAATTTATGAAGTTCTGGCTGAAGTGGCTGCATTGGCTGATTCTGCTGATTTAAGAAAAAAATATTTTTAAAATATATTTTACTAATAAAATAAAGAAAAAAAAATATGTAAAAATAGCTAAAATAGTCATCTACAGTAACTTCAACCAATACAGCTAGAAAAGTAACTCCAACCTCACGTTTTCTACTTATTACATAATTCAGCGCACAAAAGTAAAAATTACGTGTTTGGTGAAAAAGTTGGCTGATAAGATGAAGAACAATGTTGCCAAATAGTCTCTCAGTATCAAATAGTATCAAATACTCCGTAGATAATATGAAAATGAATTTGTCTCTTCAAAAAAAGAGAGAATGAATTTGCCTAAATGGCAACAGATTATTCGCATACTTCGCTAGGTGCCATAACTCCGCGCATATAATGAAAAGAACTCGCCCCCTTTATCCCAGTGCTAAAAAGCTACAGCACTCACTACTCAGCAGCTGCCATTATAGTTCACACGATCATAAACACACTTATCTCTACAAATCAACGCTAAAAAGTTCAGTTAATGCTCCGTAGCTCTGCCCCGCCAGCTCTTCCTATCTCTAACCCGGAAAAGGTATTACTCTGATTTTTATACTACGTATAAAACTGTACTTTCTCGAAGTGTCTCTTTTCGAACTATACATTTCATTGCTTTTTAATCATCTTATTTACCCTCTGAGAAGGCGATGCTGACATGATGTTAAAATACTGTAAACTTATTCATGAATACACACCTGGGAGGATCCATAACTTTTATGAAGAGGGCACATGTAGAAAAGTAGAAATGAGTCAGGACTCAGGACTGAATCGGGTCAGTCCATTTGGGGTCCAGTTAGTTCTTTTGTTATCCCTTTTTATCAATATTAATCTCGTAAATTCATGTGACATCAAGTAGAAATTGGATTGTGATGTTTTTTTATATCACTAGAAAGCCGTTACAACTTTTACTAAGACAACAAATTTTAATCAATGACATGTGTTATAAATTCAATACAACAACATCCAAGTCTTAGTCCCAAAAGATTTTGGAGTCACCTAACATGAATCGAAACATAATATCGGAACCAAAGGAAAAGAAAGATAAAAAGATAATATAAAAAGAGATAGGATAAACATAAAAAAGATAGAATAAAAAGGATAATATATACTGCGTATATATAAGGATAAAAAACAAAAGCACAAGAAAGAAAAAGAAGATGAGGGGAAAATGATGATGAGAGATCACTCCGCCACATGAACACCCGCCCTCCACTTTGCTCTATCTCAAACCATACCCTCATCCAACCCAAGAAGAAGCATATTACTTCTGACTCCTCTAATTCAAATATGTTTGAGTCTTCTTCTCTCTTCACTGCCTCTTCTCCACACCTCTGAACTCGTTTGATCGGTGCATCACTTGATCTTCTACTCACATCGCCAAACCACCGCAAGCGAGACTCCCGCATCTTATATTCAAAAATGTTACTCCCACCTTTTGTCTGATTGTCTCATTCCTCAAATGGTCCTTTCTAGTATGTCCACACATCCAACGCAACATGCACATCTCCGTCACACTCATCTTTTGAATGTGACATTGTTTCACTGCTCAACACTCTACGTCATACAGTAATGCGGGCCTAATTGCTGTCCTATAAAATTTACCCTTCAATCTAGTTGGCATACCTCGATCGCATAAAAATCCTGATGCACTCTTTCATTTCATCCACCTTGTTCTTATTCTGTGGGATACATTTCCATCCAATTCACCGTCCTTCTGAACTATGGAGCCCAAGTAATGGAACATATCATTCACCGGTATCTCCTTACCATCTAGAGTAATTCTGCTATTACCACTGCTTCTACCTTCACCAAACTTGCACTCCATGTACTCAGTCTTGCTTCGACTCAGTCTAAAACTTTCGCTCCTTAATGTTTGTCGCCATACTTACAACTTTTCTTTAACACCTGATTGCGTCTCATAAATCATTACAATATCGTCGGCAAACATCATGCACCACAGTATATCGTCGGCAAACATCATGCACCACAGTATATCGTCTTGAATTGACTTTGTAAGTTCATCCATGACTATGACAAATAAGAAAGGGAACTCTACAGTCCTCCCTACACTAGTAATTCATATATGTTATAGCTCTGCACTTTCTTTTAAATTGTTCTTTTTAGAAAAACTCGAGATCAAAACAATCTTATTTTTCACTTGGGTTTTAAATATTAATGTTTTCTTTATTTTCAAATCAACAATATTTCTTTCCAACAGCTTCCACTAAGTTTAAGCACACATGCTCTCATGCAAGAAGCAGTAGTATCATGGGGAGTAGTATCATGGGGAGTAGTATCATGGGGTGCCTGTTTCCATGCCTGATGTCCCCTAGCTCCTCAACCGCATAATGGAGTCATTTGATATTCCAATATTTACACTGTTACTGTGGAAATTAATTTTACTCTCAATCTTTATTACAATAAATAAAATTTGACATGATAGAATTTGGAGTTGAGTAGACGACTGAAGATATTTTCACTTCTCACAGTGCTAATTAAATAATATATTTCGCAGTAGAATAGTTTAAAATTTGGCATTTTATTTTTGCAGGAAAACCAAATAAGGTAGCATGTGGATGCGTTTGTAGACACCAGGAGAAAATATATTCAAGTAGTGATTAAAGATGGCCTTTAAGCCATTGGATTGGTATTGTCACCCGGTAAAGAATGGAGTTTGGTCAAAAGTGGTGGAGAATGCATTCGGAGCGTATACCGCTTGTGCAACCGACTCACTGGTCATCTCTGCTTCCCATCTTCTGGTTTTGGCATTGTGCCTTTACAGGATATGGAAGATGAATAAAGATTCCACCGTCCAGAGGTTCCGCTTAAGGTCCAACTATTATAACTATATGCTGGGTTTGCTGGCTTCTTATTGCACTGTTGAACCCTTGTATCGATTAGCAATGGGAATGTCATTGCTGAATGTTGATGGACAGACTAGTATTGCTCCGTACGAGGTATTCTGCTTCTTAATATTCTTGTATATAATTACGCTTGCTGGTGTTTATGGCTTTTGAACCACTCAATGCAAGAAGTGGCTCACCTCAGTGTGAGGCGGGGAAAAAAATGCATTGAGGCTTAAGCCTTCGGTAGGATTGAGTCTTACTCGTCAGATGAACTGAGGCTTATGCCTTGATGCCTCAAGGCATTTTCTGTGAGGCTTAAGCCTCAATTGTTTTTATATTTAACTTCTGATTTGATTTCATACTGGCCTTCCTTACTCATTCATTAGTCACCATGCTTTAAGCCCATTGAAAACCCTAAAATTTATATGTCACATACACATTTTTCTTCTTAGTGGTGTGATTGTTGGCTAGCAGGTCATCCGTCACCCTAAATCTAAATTTTGTTTTGTTTCCAAGTGGCTTATGTGATTTTATGTTTATGACTCTTGTTTCCTTAAATTTTGTGTCACATACTTGTTTTAAATTTTAAGTGTTGTACACTATAAGGCTGCCGCTTCTTACTGTCTCTAGGCGTATGTCTCGACTCACATAAAGAAAATGCCTCAATGCTTAAAACCTCCTCTTCAAACCGTGCTTTATCTTTTCTCTTCTCTTTTTATATATGAAAATAATGAAATACATTTATTTCCACCATAATGATGTTATTGGTCTTTTCCATATATCAAATGACAGTTTCAACTTTTAAATATGAATGTGATGTCTAGTACCATTTGAATTTTAATAAAAAATTTACCCTCTTCCATTACAAGGAGCGCTGCCATTTATGACTCGTAGAAGTAGTCATACTGAGGGTACTTGAGAAAAAGCAGCAAACCTTGGGTTGCTTGAAATGCACAGAGAAACTTCCGTTTGGAAAATTGGTCTATTAGCTTTTGGATTATTGGAGCAAAACAAATCAGAATAAAATTGTGTTGCACACATAAGAGCCTAAGAGGAATACTAATAAGCAATAAGAATGCTACTGAGCTATACAAACAATTGTTTGTTCCTATTATGACAAATTTGCATTGCTATGTTCTAGTTGTATACTTTAAAGTATACTTACTCCGTCCCATAAAAAATTGTCTTGTTAAGTTGTTTTAGATGTTCCTTTTGTCCCAAAAAAGAGTCCTATTTTATCCAACGATACTAGTTTTTTCATGTAAATGCATTACATTTAACCGTTGCACCTTGCCACAACTAAAACATTGTACTCTATCAAACAGGACACCTTTTTTCTTTCTCGGGACAGGGGAAGTAGCAAGTTAAAGATATATAATCTGATCAGTCATTTGACAGTCGATATAGTTTTTTTTAAATAGTATTAATATCTAATATTATAAGATGTGACACTTTCCAATCTTTGAACTTTTGTAGACAATATCTCTCATCATTGAATCTCTCACATGGGGCTTTATGCTGGTGATGATTGGTCTTGAAACAAATGTGTACATTTATGAACTTCGCTGGTATGTTAGATTTGGAGTCATTTATGCATTGGTGGGGGATGCAGTGATGTTCAACCTCGTGCTATCTGTCAAGAAGTTCTACAATGGGTCGGTTCTGTCCATCCATAATAGTCTTTATAGCCTTAGAATTTGCACACACTTTTCTAATCTGTATGCTTTGGTTTTACTGCTGCTAGATTACCACACTTGTAAGGGATAATCATTCTAAAAGGATATGTAGTAAGGGCATAATGTTGATTGTTATATTGATATGTCCAGTGTTTTAGGTTGCCACCCAATTATTAATTTAATCAACTAAATAGCTAACAAAGATCAAGTCTACAAGTATCCTAAGTAAATGAACTAGAATGAAACATGACCAATCCCTCTTCATGTAGTTCTCATATCTATATATACAGGACATGTACATACAATTTTGGAGTATATGCATATCCATCTTATAAATTAAGGTATTGGTGGAAGTGTGGAACATAACACAAAAAGCAAAACCTTAAACATGCCTAGAGACTGTATGTAGCTTAACATTGTAACTAGTAAGTGGTGGTGTACTAGTATCTCCTCATAAGGTGTATCTTGGCCATTTGTAACCAAAGCATCGAGTACAGTTTTAGTATTGAGGTTAGTAGAAGTAACCTAGGCTCTAATGAACAAGAGAAGGAGAAGGCTTTTGAATTATATTTCTGCAAAGTTTAAAGTTCTAAAATCAAAATTGTCCTTCCTTATTTCTGATCATCTCTAGATTGTATAAAGTTCTAAGTAGCACCGGGACGGGAACAGAAACAGAAGCAGGGACGGAAAAAGAAACAGAAACAGGGACGGAAAAACTCTAATCTCAAGAAAATTTTGTTGAAGATAATAATATCATGGAATGTTTCTTGTTTGAAACCTATGTTCATCATGGCTTTGCTGGATTGTTGAATGCATGCAAAATAAGCTAATGTCAGCTGTAGACTTGTAGCTTTTGAATTTAATTTTTGAAACTGTTCATGACTGCATGCTAACTCATGTAATATATGCCTGAAACTTTTGGATCTTTATTTGTCTGAGCAGGTCCATACTGTATTTGTACACAAGTGAAGTTGCAGTCCAGGTATGCAGCTCCTATTCTATTTAGTTTATATTTCTTGTCACTGTATTTCGACATTTTGCATTTATCTATAAAAGTTTGATAAAACTGGCTTAAATAACTAAGGATTAGACTAAAGAAATTTGACAATGGGATTGTTTATATTCCAATTTGACATTCCTCATCTTGAAACTTTGTAAGATAATAAGCAACTGACTATTAAAAGTTCATAGCCTGATTTTAATTTGTTAGATCTAAGAGAGTAAAACGTAGGTTTAACTTATAAAAGAAGTTCTCTTTTTTGGTCATAGGCATTATTTGGTCTGCTCCTTCTTTTATATTTTCCTCAATTGGAACTGTATCCGGGGATTTCGGGCTACTCTGTGCTTCGGACTGAATCGGTTGACAACACAGCATATGAAAAACTCCCTGGTGAAGAGGAGATTTGTCCAGAAAGGCATGGCAACCTATTGTCCAGTACGTATTCATTCTCATCTAAGTAGCAATTGCAAAATGGTTTGACATGAATTTTTTCATTCTTCTGCCAATCCTGAAGCGGATGGTTGGCATTGTCAAAGAGTTGACTATGATTGTTTGAGACCAAGATGTTAAACATTTTATTGTTTCCTTTTAACTGATATGTGTAATTTTTCACTTCCACAGAAGTTACTTTTGCATGGATGAACCCTCTTATGCAACTTGGTTACAAGAGACCTCTCACAGAAAAGGATATATGGAAACTGGATACTTGGGATAGGACAGAAACACTCAATAATGTGTAAGGGGCTGTGAGCCAGTGACCTTATTTGTCTCCATTTATCTTTGAACTGTTTGAGTTAAAAATAATCTCATATAATAAAGTACTCTGTGTATATTAAAAGAACCCATAGTTTATTTCAAAAAGACATCATGGTTCGTCCCTTTTGTAGGTTTCAAAAATGTTGGGCTGAGGAGTCTCAAAGGCTACGCCCATGGCTTTTGAGAGCATTAAATAGCAGTCTTGGGGGAAGGTAAGAACATCAGTAATTCGTTTCTCTTTTGAATGTGCTTTATAAGTTGCAGTACTCATGTTCTTTACTATGATGCGATATACTATGAGGTACAGAAATTAATTTTAATATGTTGCTAACTTTCTTTATTCTTTTGAGCTTTGCAGATTTTGGTGGGGAGGCTTCTGGAAGGTAGTTGACTATTCTTATTACATGATGAATTTAGTGATAAAAGTTACACAAATCAGTTTATTCTTATACCGCTTTCCTACTTCTAATGTGGAGATACATGGAATGGTAGAACCTTAAACATCTTCTCTAGTAACAAAATGCTATAGTGAAAGCCTGTCACATTAGTTTTTCTGTCTGATGGTCCTTGATTTTCAAACGTGAGGTAGAAGACTAGGATATTATATTTAAAGTTCATCTTTTATCTTACTCTCTAAGTGAGCCTTGCCTTTTAAAGTGAATACCATCAAGTGCAAACCTGTTCAAATTCATATGTACTGCATTTAAATTCAGAAGGTACTTTAATTATAATTTAAAATGTCTTTTGGAAGAACACATTATTTCAAGCATCTGAAACTTTCCCCAGGGGATTTGATAATTTTCTACTTTATCAGACATCACTTAAATAATCATTTGATGTATATTTTTTGAAATCAGATTGGAAATGACGTGTCCCAGTTTATTGGGCCTCTTATGCTGAATCAACTATTACAAGTATGTTGCCATTTTTACCCTTTAACTGTTTCATTTAAGTTTTATCAGCCATGTGCTAGTCTTGGAAGCTTTCCTTTTGGACGATTTTTTAATCTTTGAAGAAATAAGTGTTTGGCTGTTGTATTTTTTGTGCCAATCTCAATTGAATGACATTATGTGTTTATGGATGTGGATGCTATATTAAGTGCTTCCCTAGTTTAACAATAACTTGAGTGGGCTTGGTCCAATACAATCTGATATGTGTGTTTGTGTGTGTGTTGGATATTTGTAGCACTATATTGTAAAAAAAAACCTTCTGCTCTAGTATTTCAGATTTAGCTGCCACTATTTGCTTAGTTTTTAGCTCAGATCAGAGGGGTATGTTTCATAATAGAGTTATGTAATCCTTTTTTCTTAATAAATTGGTAAGGTGTTCCCTGGCTGCTACCCCTAGAAATGAGGTTTACGTACTGGGCTAACAAAAACCTTCTACTCTTTTTATACCATGGTATCTCTCAAATATAAAAGAGAAAAAGTATATTTTTACTTTGATTCATCGTAGCTCAGATCAGAGGGGTATGTTTCATATTTCGTAATTATTCTAAATAGGACCAATGGAAACTTAATTGCACAAATAGGACTAAAACCTAAATCATTCACAAATAGGATTGGACATTAATTTTCTGCCCTAAATACCCCTAATTTAATTAATTAATTGCCCCCCTAGTTCCCTTGGGCAACCGGGGCAGTCCGTTGGTGGCGGGGAAGTCCGGCGGCGGCAGAAGGTCTAGGGAGAAAAAAATCTTGATTTTTTTTGCCCTGCCGAAGCTCCGGCGGCGGCGGTCAGAATCTTGGTGGCGACCAGAATCTTGGTGGCGGCCAGAATCTGGGCGGCCGGCGGTGACATGTGGCAGGAGGCACATGGTGCATGTGGTAGGAGATTTTTTGTCCAATAAAAAAAAAGTTCTATTTTGGCAATTTTAAAACTACTATTCCTATTTGTGATTTTTGGCCTTCTTTTAGTCCTATTTAGCTAATTAACTCTTTCATATTAGAGTTTTATAATCTTTTTTTCTTAATAAATTGGTAAGGTGTTCTTCGGCCCTTACCTTTAAACTTCTACTCTTTGTATGCCATGGTATCTCTTAAACCTAGAAGTGGAAAAATATATTTTTACTTCATCATAGCACGAAGCATGAAACATACACAACACACATATATATACTTAAACCTAATATAGCTGTTATCAACAGACCTATTCAACAAGATTCTTCATATTCTCTTATATTTTTCACAAGATTCCTATTCTAGCTGGAGCGTGTACATCAAGAGCTCCAAGCTTACACATCTCGTAAATCATCATTAAAGACAACAAAGGTGGTTATCATTCCTCCAGAAGAGACTTTCTCTTGAACAGAGCAACAATCAACTTGAGTGTGACTGTGTATTTTGTTCTTCTGCGGAAACTGGATTGGGTGCAATTTTTAAAGCAACTTGCATAGACCTGGCCCAATTCATGATCGTGTGTCAGTGTTGCACTGATATATTAATAACAGAAAGATAATTCCTTGGGTCTTTTATAACAATGGTGTTGTACATTCTCTTTCTAGTTTTTAAGGAATTGCTGAAGCTTGCAAGTTTTTTAGCATCTGGCTAGTCTCTAGTCTAATGTCATGATGCTCTATGAGTGTTTCTAACTTGTAGTATAAAATGCTCTCTTTTTCTTCAACAAAGTTCTTTTGTTAAATGTCCCACACCGGAAAAGTTTAGATGAACAAAATGCTATATTAACACATGGGCTACTCCTCCTATCAGGTTGACCTTTTAGGATGGAACCCCGTGTCTTAACATGGTATCAGAGCCAAATCGATCCATGGTGTGGGCCCCTTATGAAAATTGATGACACGATTATAAAAAAAATGACAATTACGGCTAGATGAAAAATGGACCGATGAAAAAAATGAATGATGTCACCATCTAGACGAAGTGTCTGGTCGTGAGGAGGGGTGTTAAATGTCCCACACCGGAAAAGTTTGGATGAACAAAATGCTATATTAACACATGGGCTACTCCTCCCATCAGGTTGACCTTTTAGGATGGAACCCCATGTCTTAACAGTTTCATTAGTTAAGTTAGAATCTGTTTTTCTTCTGAACTGGTTCTGTTTTGTTGACTTTTGGAAAGATTAGGATTTGTTTTGCAATATGTGTTGATTAAAGAGTATGCATTGGATTCTTTCAAGTTTTCCTAACTATCCTTAATTTGGATTTGTGCTTTGACAATTTCTTCTCATAGTTGTTCCTTTCCATATATAACAGTCTATGCAAGAAGGAGGTCCAGCATGGATTGGCTACATCTATGCATTTACAATTTTTCTTGGAGTGGTATGTACTATTGCCATCCAGAGGAGTTATAATTTTAAAAAATACTCCTTTCTGATGGGTGGTGTAGATAAGTTTACTGGAGTAGGAAAGGTCTTTGGGTTGAATTTGACTCGCCACTTATTTTCAAGCTTTTACACATGTTTTTTCCATCTTAAACAATGCATCCATTACATAAGAGTGTCTATTAAGAGTAATAAATAGACTAGTCCATGCACCCACACCCACTCTCTAATAGCTTAAACTTTCATCATTTCCAAAGGTATTTTTCTTTTATTTGTGTGGTTTATTTTTTTTTTTTGTTGCTGGCCCAAACTCTTTTGGGATTAAGGCTTGGATGTCATTGTTGTTGTCTAGTATATTATTCCCTCCGTCCCACTAAGATTGTCTCATTTTTACTTTATTCTTTATCAATTCAATATCAACCACATAAACTCACTTTTCTTAATAACCGTGCCACCCCCTCTTGTCCCAATGTTAGTGGGACAGAGGTAGTACTTTATTTTTGTTGTTGTGTAACATCAGTCGTGTTCTGTGAAAGAGAGCCTTGGCGCACCAATTACGGTGTTGTTGTGTGACCGAGAGGTCACTTGTTCAGCAGCGGCCTCTTGTCAAAATGACAAGGTAAGGCGATACGCTGTTGTGATGGGAACCTCCCCCAAACCCTAGCCTTGCGCGGACGCCAGCGTTCACTGCACTACCCTTTAATAACAGTCTTGTTGTGTGTAAAGCTTTGAAGTTGTTGTGTTGACTACTTTGGTATGAATATGATTTAGGTCTTCGGTGTGCTGTGTGAAGCCCAATACTTCCAAAATGTCATGCGTGTTGGATATCGCTTGAGATCAACCCTGGTAATGTAGTCCATGTGGCTGTCCACACACTTTCTTGTCTTCGCCTTGTACTCTGCACATATCCTCATTGTTAGTGGTTGCTTTTCTTACGGGGTATATGATTTGAGTGCGTCTCATGTGAAAGCAGAGTAAAAAGACGTGAAGAAGTATTGTGGATGGAACCTTCCTATTATTTTTATTAACATATTATATATTATTATTAATTTTCTTTTATTGATAATAGTATATATATTAGTCTCCAATTCATATTATTATTGTTGTTTCATTATTAAGTTTTAGTCAGTTTCTCATTAGCTAATTTTAGCTTCATGTTTCCTATTAAGGTTAGGGCCCTTGTAATAGCTATGTTAAGGTTGCTAGTATTGATTTATAAATTATCTTGAGGAATTAATTCTTGTTTGTCTTCGCGAGGTTGCACATTAATTAGTTCTACCTTAATCATATTTCATAGTACATTCTTTCTTGTAAGAAACATATTCGGAGATCGTTAAGGATAGAGCTGAAACTCTTTTGGTTCTACCTCTCTGCCTTCTCGTTGTAGACCTCAGATGAGATCACTTGCACGCGTATAACAGCATACGACGTATATCCCAAATGTTATGCTTATATGTGCTTAAGATGCACTTAGTCATTGTCTAGTTCTTATGTAGTCATATGTTTACTTGCATCTGTCAGGAGAATTTATTTAGAATTTTTATAAGTTGGAGTTTGTGGGTGGAAGGTAGATTCACTTCTGCAGAATTGCATTGAAGTTTTCAAATTCATTATGTTTTGTAGGTAGCTGCAGTTTTCCGCAAGTCATTGAGGCTAACTCACGAGAGCCGGAAGCGGTTTGCAACCGGAAAAATAACTAACTTAATGACCACTGATGCCGAGTCCCTACAGGTCTGCATTTTCAGCTGAGAAACAGCTATTTTTATTATATTTCACGTTACGTAAGATACTAAGGGCTGTTTTTTTTGTTTTTCTTCTATTAAGTCTTGTTTGGATGAAGACGATGTTTGTCTGCATTAAGACGTCTACCTCGATTAAGTGATATTTGTATATGAGGCTGTTTATTTTGAGTGCCGAATAAAAAGTCTGAGTTGAGTAAAATAATCAATTTGATATTATTATTGGGTTATACTGTCAATGATCAATTTTTATTTATTAAAATAATTTTTTTCCATAATCGGTTTAAAAAAATTAGCATAAGAGACGTCTTAATAGGCGTCTTAAGGGGAAGGACTACTAAATTAGAACTTAATGATTCATTCAGTTTTTTTGACTGAAAGAATAAGTTGCGCTTTTAATTAAGCCGTAAGTAAACATGACTTGACTGAATGATTATGTCGATATTCTCATGAAGTCCATTAAGCCGCAAGTACACAACCCCTTAGTGAGTGTATATGCCACCCGGTCATTTGAGCCCACAAATGAGGTACCATGTGAAGGAAGAGTATTTATTGTATTCCTGTGTATAAGTTTGCACAATATGTTCTTATTTATAATGCAATGATGTAGTAGACGGGTCAAGACAACTAAGATTAGGGTTTTAACAAGCCTAATAAAATTAGGGCTATATTTTAACGTTTGTTATGACTGTATTACAATGATTGATGCCAAGAAGGCTGCAAGAACTAATTCATGAAGTTCAATTTTTTTCTGTATGCATTTCTTTTAATACTTATGTGGAGGATTGAAATTGGACACCACATTTTTATAGAATGTTGCTTGCTGTAGTTTTGCTAAAGAGGTTGTTTTGGACAGGTCCTTGCTACTAATCATTGTCAAATACCTTCTGTTACATGTTTTTGGGAAGAGAACTTAATTGTTTTATAAAAATGTTACTTCTTGATTGATTGCTGACCAGATCATTTTCTGCAGCAAATATGCCAATCACTGCACACTTTATGGTCTGCTCCTTTTCGGATTGTCATTGCAATGGTTCTTCTATACATTCAGTTGGGAGTTGCATCTCTACTTGGTGCATTCATGCTTGTTTTACTGTTCCCTATTCAGGTTGGACCCCCACACCCATCCAAGTTAAAATAGTGTATCTGTGTATGTAACATTAATCACACCCTTAACTTGAATGTGTGAAATAAACTTCTAGTTAAATTAAGCACCATGTACAACAACAACAACATCCAAGCCTTAATCCCAAAAGATTTTGGGGTCGGCTAACATGAATCGATCCATGATATCGATGCTAAAAAGAGAAAACAGAAAAAGAAGAAAAAAAGTAAGATAAAATGGAAAATATAAAGATAAATAATACTTCCTCTGTTCGGTTTTAAGTGCAACATGCACTTGGGCACGGAGTTTAAGAAGCAATGACAAAGGGTTGAACTTGACACTTTTACCCTTCGTTATACGGAAATCACAGCTGCCCAAATAAGTGCTACAGTTTGTAACAGTGCACAGATGCATTACAGCGAAGAAAGCAAACAGTACGTAAGCACCATTGTACTCCTCGATTATGCAGTATACTTACGAGGTCCAAAAAAAATTAGGAAGAAGAGCAGGAGGGTCGGTGCTGAGAAACGATAGTTAAGATGATTTTCGCAGCCTACTTTCCCTTTTAGAAATGGTCCATCGAATTACATGTAACTCTTCAAGCTCTGAAATGGACCATCGAAGGCGGTTACAAACAATTCCAAGTGGAATCAGATTCCTTGGCCTCTCGTAATTAATTCAAGCATCCACTCACCAAGTCTCAAGCATATTCTCTTAACGGGAGCAGAATCAGTTTCATCTACATCCATATCTTCCATTTTGGCGGCAATTAAAATACAAACCGGAGGGAAAAATCAAAGATGAAGATGACTGGGAAAGAAATAGAGATATGGCTTAGTAGGTGATGAAAGTCGATGATGTTGGGAAGATAAAAGTAGATTTTGGTGGGGTGGGCAGATGAAGAGATATAGAAATTGAAGACCAAGAGGTTGTGCGCAGATGAAATTGGTGGGAGGCGGGTGGTGGAATGAAATTGGTGGGAGGCGGTGGGTGGAGAGAGTAAAAATAAGTGGAGACAGAAGAGTGTATATAATTAAGGGTATAAAGGTCAATTTACTTAGTATTTCCTTCCTAAAATAGAAAGGTTGTATTTAATTTGAAACTGCCGAAAAAGGAAAGTGTTGCACTTATTTAAGAACGGAGGAAGTATATGATAACAATAACATAAGAATATAAGAAAGGTAAAAGATAAAAAGATAAAAGAACATAAAAAGGCTAGAAGATAAAAATAACATAAGAACATAAGAGATAAAGAAGATAAACGATAAAAGAAACAAAGAGAGGAAAGTAATTAAGCACCATGTTATTAGAAAGTAAGAGAGGGATATAAAGGAAAATGAGTATTGTATTGTTATTATCAAGTGAAGCAGCAATACATATTTATATAGAGTTGGTTAAGTCATAACAAACTCAACTGACTATAACCGAGACTCTAACAAATAGCTAAAACTGTTACAAGATAGTCTATTTAGAGTATATCTAATATTCCCCCCCTCAAACTTATTGTGAGGTACTGATCACACTAAGATTGTCTCTTAGAGTAACAAAGCTGGAGCTTGAAAGTGGTTTGGTGAGGATATCAGCAACTTGATAGTGGGAAGGAATATGATAGACTTGTAGCCGCTTCAACTGAACCTTCTCTCTGACAAAGAAGAGATCAATCTCCATGTGCTTGATCCGAGAATGTAGAACTGGATTGTGAGCAAGCTGCACAGTACTGAGGTTATCACAGTAGACTTTAGGAATGGAGAAGGGTACTTGAAGTTCGTTGAGAAGAAATTGAATCCATAATAGCTCAGCAGTAGTATCAGCAAGACTCCTGTACTCTGCTTCAGCTGAAGATCTTGCAACTCTTAGCTGTTTTCTTGACCACCATGAAATGATATTGGGACCAAGAAAAACACAAGAGCCAGATGTAGATTTTCTGTCTGTAGGGTCAGATGCCCGGTCTGCATCACAGTAGGCTGAAATGGGAAGAGGTATGGAGGATAAGGGAAGAGGTTTGATTACCAGACCATGTGTAATAGTGCCTTATAGGTATCTGAGGATATGTTTAACAGCCTGCCAGTGTTCTTGTAAGGGATTAGCCATAAATTGACAGACTTTGTTGACAACATAGCATATCTCAGGTCTAGTCAAAGTGGCATATTGTAAAATACCAACAACAGATCTGTAATAGGAACACTTAGGAAGATAGTTACTGCCCTCTTGAGTAAGTTTACACGTGCTGACCATCGGTGTTTCTACCCTTTAGAATCAATCATACCAGTTTGATGAAGCCGATATCTGATATACTTGGTTTGGGATAAATACAGACCACCATCAGAAAGTTTGTGTACTTCTATCCCCAGAAGGAAGTCCAAATCTCCCAGATGTTTCAGAGAAAAAGATGAGTCAAGTTTATTGATTGATGGCACAGGGTTGATTACCAATGACCAATATATCATCAACATATATAAGTATATATATGTGAACATCAGAAGATAGATAGATCAGAAGAGAAGGATCAAACTTGCTCTGTTTGAAACCAACACTGTATAAAACTGAGGTTAATTTAAGAAACCAAGCTCTAGGAGCTTGTTTAAGTCCATACAAGGACTTATGCAGTTTGCAGACAAGAGAGGTATCTTCTGCTTGGAATCCTGGGGTTGTACCATGTATACTTCTTCATCAAGCTCTTCTGTATTTAGCAACTTATATTAATTATTATTATCATATGGTGCTAGGGAGTTAATTTAGTCACTTTTATGAATTATGTCATTTATTGTTTCATCATAATTTGTAGATTATATCAGTTTATTCCCTTAAAGTGAGATTTTTTTTTTTTCATTTGGGTTTGATACATTTTTTTAGGACACTTAAAAGCCCATGTTAGTTATCTTGGCCCCATTGAAATTTTAAATGAGTATTTTCTTAATAAAATCCCTAGAAAGAGATATAAGTATATTAATATATAGAATATCTATGTTCCCTCTTCCAAAAAAAATATCTCTGTTTCCCTTCATTGGCAGCCAGTCCTTTCTTATTCTCTCCGTCAATTGACCATCTCTCATGCATTTGCTTGTGCCATGAATCACATTAAGTCTAGTGAGTTTAATTTTAAATCCCTCTAGATATGCTTTTGGGCCTTAAGGATAGTTTAGCTCTTTTTTTGAAAATCCAGGTGATTGTATTATTTTAGTAATATATTTAAAAGTATGGACGCAGTTTGTTTTTGGTATTCTTGTTTGAGTTACATTTTTTCAGATTTATTTTCTAGAGTAAATGGTCGTTATATTTTAGTCTTTTGGAATAGTAAGGCATTGTGATGTTCTTTGTTTACTCTGAGAGGGACGTTACAGCTACAACCGTTATTCTTTCCGCTATAGTGCCCGCTACTAGCGCTATTGCCAACCGCTCCGGTATAGGAAATCTGATAGCGCCTGGCCCCCGCCCCACTCCACTACTATGCTATAGCACGATATTGACATCACTACATAAGGGTAGTAAAGTGAATTGATAGAAATTTGTTTACCAAATAAGGAAAGAGGATTTATTTAGGAAGAAAAGAAAATCATGAAGTTTTTCAAGGGACAGAGGGAGTATTAATGATGGATGTTTTGTATGTTTTATGTTATCTTATGTGTATAAAAGATTTTTCTGATTCAGAAACTTTGTTAAAAGCAGACTTTAGTAATAAGCAAGATGCAGAAATTGACAAAAGAGGGATTGCAGCGCACTGACAAGAGAATTGGATTAATGAATGAAATACTGGCCGCAATGGACACAGTAAAGTATGCATCTCAGCATCTCCCTTATAGAAATAACTTTCTTACTTCATCTTTATTTACTTACTTACTTATTTGTCTCTCTCTCTCTGTTTCTCTCTCTGTGTGTGTGTGTATTTATTTACTTGTGATCCATTGCTTCAGATGCTATGCATGGGAGGACAGTTTCCAATCAAAGGTTCAGGGGGTTCGGGAAGAGGAGCTAAGTTGGTTTCGTAAAGCACAAATGCTAGGAGCAGTATGTTATGAACCATTCTCTCTCTGTAATATCATGTACTATTTACGACTATTTAGAAATTTCTCTTGCATAGCTCTGTTACAACAACAGTCATGGTTGCATTTTAACTTTCCTTTTGTGACATTGCACAGTTTAAATAGCATGTGAAGAACAGAGCATTGTCGCTCATTTTTCTTTACCGTGTAGTGATAAAATGCTCATGACCGCGCTAATGTTTTGGTGCTTTCACCCTGATGCCTTGGCATGATTTAACTTCATATATTGTTTTGTGCAGTTGAACAGTTTCATATTGAACAGCATTCCAGTTTTTGTGATTGTGGTCTCGTTCGGGGTGTTCACTTTACTTGGTGGGAATCTAACACCTGCAAGGGCATTTACATCTCTATCTTTATTTGCAGTGCTACGCTTTCCGCTTTTCATGCTTCCCAATATCATAACACAGGTTCTCTTATTTGAAATGCAACCAACCCAGTTTAATGTTTAGAACATATTTAGTGATATTTCGGTTATTGGGCAGATTTCTCACTAGTGTTTCTGCTTGCCTGCTGATTCTAAAGGAGTTAATAGCTTGAGTGACCGTGTTCCAATTGCTGATCACCTATATATCATATTCCATAAAGTGAAAGTTGTTTGAAGGATTAGAGCAACAGCATTAGTTATAAATGTTTCATTGTTATCATAAGCACCAAAAAAGAACTTTATTACTTTAATCACCACTTATTCCTCTAAAGGCTTCTTTGGTTTTGGGAACTATGGTGATTGAATGTGTAATCCAGTGTTATCAATAGCCGATGGCGGTGGAAAGCCAAAAAACCGCTATGAAAATGAAGCAGATATCATTGCGGTATATAGGGGGAGCATAGCGGATTAGGTAAACATAAATGACATATATAATTTTTAAATTTAAATAAACTAGATGTAAGAAGTAAAGTAATAAGGTATATTTACTAATTTAAGCAACATAAAAAGATTTTAAAACTTAGAACTAAACATAGAATCATAACACATAACTTGTAAACCACCAAAGTTCAAAGTGTTCTTAAATGGAAGACTTTATAAACTGAAAAATAAGCCAAAACAGCTGCATGTTTCAATTTAAACAGCTTGTAATATTCTTCTTCAGTCCAAACATAATCTTCTCCGTCTTCTTTGACTTCAAGTGAAGCATACCTCTCTTCCTCTTCTCCTTCAGACTCATCAAGAGAAGAGTAGACACGGAACAAATGATCATATTTAAATAAAATACCAGTTTTTCTTTTTAGTTGGCAGATTAAATAAAATACTGATAGAAACCTCCAAATTCCAGAACAGTTTACAGAAAGATTAATATGGAAACAACTGAAATCTTATTGAAGAAGATGATGGATTACAGAATGAAACAGTAACAAAGGCCGAAGCCTCCCAAAAGAGAAGAGAAATAACTCTCTAATCTTTCCCAGTCCCAAGACCTAAGTCCCAAAAAGCATCCTTCCTACTCCCCTTCCCGTCTATTTATAATAGAGACCCTTATTACTAATATTATTATTATTATTATTACTTCTATTGTTAGTCTAATATGTAGGTCCCTATCAATACTCCCCCCTAAACATCCACCTTGCTTTCAAGGTGGGCGGTAGGAGACAACCGAAATCTCCTCCTCCTCCTCCTCCTCCTCCTCCCCCCCTCCCCCCCCCCTCCCCCCCCCCCCCCTCTCCCAAGCACTAATATTAGTCCTGTGTCTTTGTTCATTCTTCCATTTGCTAATAGCTCTTGCTACAGGATATAACTCAAACCCTTGAGTTTCAGTTGCTTCACTCCTTGAAATTGCAGCATTTATCATGTGTTTGCTGGGATTGATAAGAAGAACAGAAGGAACAACACTTTCAGAGTTAATAACTGAAGCTTCCCAATAAGAATCCTGTGACCTGGAACTGATGGGTGCCCACAATGACATGAATGGTGCAGAACCTACTGCTATTTCGAATATGGATAACAATTTGTCATAATGAAATTTTGCCAGATACTCTTTGCCTAATGGGCTGTAGGACATACAATCATCATCATCCTTGGTCAAACTTTTGGGTGAGCCTCTTAGTAGGGTAGTCATAGAAACTTTTCCCTCTACAATGCTACCAAGAGCCAACTTCTGTGTCCATTTCAATCCAAAATCTGAGGAATTCCAAACTAGAAGATTGGTAATCGTGTGTTTAGAAAGAAAGCATTCTTGACTAAATGAAACCCCATTTGAAGAGCATATTGACTGTTCAGAGGTATCAATTTTTTTGTCATCTGTAGTCCTGATGTCTTGGCCAGTGTTATGCAACACTGGAACCAAACAACATTTAGTGCATGAGAATACAAATTCAACTCTTTCAACACCAGTTGCATCAGTCATAATTCTGTGGATCCCCATTCTGAGTCCAGCTTCATTTCCTTCTATCACCGCCATTTCCTTATGCTTCTGCATGACCCTTATCAGTAATTGTTTAGGAAGCTTTAGGAAAGTGTCTTCAATTTTTTCCAAATATAGGCACAGGTGCCTCAACAAGACTTATTACTTCGTTAATTAGACCACTCTGCACAATAGGAAATCTATTTACACTCTCTGTAAGATCATGGGACTGCTCCAATATAAACTTCTTGCGTTGATCAACATCATCTAATCTGAAACCATCAATCTTATTCAACCCTACAATCACATAAGCTTCATCAAAGAAAATCAATTTTTCTAATTTACTGGCATCCACATGAAATCTTGGTCGAGCCTCCAGTACTGTCCACTTAATGTAAGGGTTATCCATGTCCATCCTTAGCAGGTACATACCTCGAGATATAGGGATTGACTTCCCAGATTGGTTTATCTTGACTTGCAGGTATTCATCAATTTGAGAGCCACGTCCAAATGACCACACCATCTTGGTTTCCAATTCTGAATTAAGGAGTTCATACCTGGGGATTTTATTGTGACTGAGGAAACAAGTAATTGCTCCCGCTGCAGGTCCATGGTCAAGTGACGATTTATCCTTGTCTTCCTTGTTGCCATAAGTGTGCCTATCTGCCATGGCCGATTGCGGCTGATTAATCAACTCCTGATGCTAATCTGTGGATTCAGATGGAGATTTCAAACTGGAGTTTTCTGCTCGCGTAGAAGCCAGAAGACCAAAAGAAATAGGCGTTTGCAACGACCCTTTACTTTTCGAATTTATGCACCGACGTATCTTCCTCGATCTTCCTCGCCGACTTTGTGTTCGCATCTTGGTACACAACTTGTCCGATCCTGTTCTCCTTTTCCTCGCCTTATCACTTTCTACCTCTTCTTTGTTCTGCGTACGCTTCTCCTTCTCCAGGACTAAGCGTTTTTCCTTCTCCAGGTTTGAGCGCTTTTCTTTCTCCCCTACTTTTCCGCGCCCAACCTCTTCGGCGAGCTTCACGATTATTCCGCGCGAATCCTTTCGCGATTGCGAACTAAGAGTCGCAGTTCGCGACTCAGATTGCGGACTAGTGCGCGATCGCGATGAACCATGTTTGTCCGATTGCCAATGATGCCTGGTATTCTTCGATTGATTCCGCGAAGGACCTGGAAGTCTGTTTGGAATATCCGCAAGGCTAACTCGCATAGCGGCCATCTTCTTAGCCATATCTTCTTGCATTTCCCGCAGAAGTCTTTTCCAATTGCGATTCAGATTGTCAAATCTTTCTTCCATCTTTGCGCGCCTCTATCTCCTCCAGCGATCGACAGGCTCTGATACCAATGATAGAAACCTCCAAATTCCAGAACAGTTTACAGAAAGATTAATATGGAAACAACTGAAATCTTATTGAAGAAGATGATGGATTACAGAATGAAACAGTAACAAAGGCCGAAGCCTCCCAAAAGAGAAGAGAAATAACTCTCTAATCTTTCCCAGTCCCAAGACCTAAGTCCCAAAAAGCCTCCTTCCTACACCCCTTCCCGTCTATTTATAATAGAGACCCTTATTACTAATATTATTATTATTATTATTACTTCTATTATTAGTCTAATATGTAGGTCCCTATCAAATACAAATAAGTTTGTTTCTGAAACAAACTAGCTGACAGGTGGGCTTTTAGGGTTTAGTTTGAATTAAAACACTCTTCAATTGGGTCAGCGGATTAGTTAAAAAGATTGGCCAATTATTCACAGTCCACAACAATCTGCGCAATCCGCCATTGCGGCTGTGTTGCAGCGCTCTGGTTAATCCGCCATGGTGCCACAATTTTCGCTATTTGATAACATGTTAACCTTACACAGGAGATAAAAACAATGGCCCTTAATACCAAAAGTGATGTTTTGTTGTCTTCTTATATTTAATCAATATGAGTGGTATTTGATTTCTCATTTCCCTTTTGTGATATTGAGTTCTGCTCATATGCTATCAGTAGTGTTTACTGTTTTATATGCGAGTGGACCCTAATAATTGTATAGTTTTGCAATCTATGCTGTACAATTTAAATTAAGCCATGCCGTAGTGGTATTATACGATGTTTGTGACTGAACTGCTTTTCTAATTTTATTTTGTGAAACATTTAGCCCATGTGACTATGTCAAATATAATCTTCAGTTTTCCCTCCCGATTTTATCTTTTTTTTTTGCGGTGCAGACCGATTGTGCTTTTGATCAAATCATACTATCATTTTGGATGTTCAATAAGTAACCCAGCAATAATCCACATTTTTCCTTTTCCCACTGAGTATCTGTTTTCTGATTTCACAGGTAGTTAATGCGAACGTATCCTTGAAACGTCTCGAGGAACTTCTTTTAGCTGAAGAGAGGGAACTTCTGCCCAATCCACCTCTTGAGCCCAGTTTTCCAGCCATTTCAATTAGAAACGGTAGCTTTTCATGGGAATCGAAGGTTGGTTTTACTTTTCACCAGAACAGAAGAATTTTATTCGCTTACAGAGATACTTATTGTTCTCCCTCCTGGACTATGGCATTCATGGTCTGTGAAACTCCATCCCTTAAAGTGGAATACTGCTATCTTGGCAATTTTATGTTTTGCTTGTATGACTTTTTATCAGATAATGTAGATTTTAATCAAGAATTCCATATAATCTCAATGACATTAGATCCTTTATGAAGAACCTTTGTTCACAATACTATGTTAAAAGTAACAAAGTATTGTATACTTGCATGGAAAATCCAATGCTCATGATACTGCTATGAGTTAAAGATAGTTGTTCAAAATCCAATGCTATCCATATAACTCTCTTTAGTGGTAAGAATTCTTTTAAAAACCAGTCCCAATAAGTTTGAATTCTGAGCTTTTGACTGCTGTGTATGATGTGTCATTTGAAATCAAACGTGTTGTTTTCTGCCACCGGAGCTTGAATCCCAACCAATGACTTGATATTTGTTATCACTATCATATTGTAACCATTAACACCCAGAGTTAAAATCTCAGAACCACCAGCCTACACTATCTCCTAATTTATCTGTCCTCCGCAGCAAGCCTCCCTTCATCCTCGATATATGTTCAATGGGTGAGAGATTTGAGGAGGCTGGGAGAATTACATCTGTGCGAGGGGTGTAGTATGTTTTAAATGATATTTTTTAAAATCCTTTCAACCCGCTAGATTCACCAACTCACAGAAGGGATACAGTTCTATAGTATTTATAGTTATTATTTTATGTGCTGAATATTTGTTTACATATTCATAATCAGTATATAAAGGCATTTATCTCCATTTTAGTTTTTTAGATGCTTCTCAATCCATGAAATAAATGAGATTTTATTGGTTGGAGCATGTAGTGGAAGATTGCTAACAATACTTTCCTGCAAATGATAGGGAGATAAACCAACTTTATCAAATATCAATTTGGATGTTCCAATTGGAAGTTTAGTAGCAATTGTAGGCGGTACTGGTGAAGGAAAGACATCACTCATATCAGCAATGCTTGGGGAGATTCCTGCTGTTACAGATTCAAGTTTTGTCGTGAGAGGAACTGTTGCTTATGTGCCACAATTATCATGGATTTTCAATGCCACGGTATGTGAGTCGTGACCATGTTTTGACTAGAATGAAGTGTCTAAATTTGATTTTCAATGCCACGGCACATGACCTTGTTTTGGCTAGAAAGAAGTGTCTAAATTTGATACTAACAGGTTCAGTTCTCACATAATGTAGAATCATTCTTTGATGATTCATCTCCTAGCCAACTAGTATAAATAGGGTGATCAATCGTTTGTAAATCCATTCAAAAAAAATTCAGATTAAGAAGTAATTCAGAGGTTATTAATAATATATCTATCTCTTAAATTTAGTCTCCATCTTCTGCATTTCACATTTTGACAGATGCTGATCATCTGCAGCCATTGAAATGCTTAGTATATTTTTTAGGTGCGTGACAACATACTATTTGGTTCAAGATTTTCACCAGCAAGGTATGCTAAAGCGGTTGATGTGACTGAACTACAGCATGACCTTGAACTTCTCCCTGTGAGTATATTTGCACATTTTTATGGTGAGGTTCTTTTTTTGGGGGGTGGGGCATTTCCATTGTTCAGTTTACAGTCATTCTATGTTCTTTACCAATGTCTTTGTAAAATATGAACTGTACTTTAGGGTGGTGATCTTACTGAAATTGGAGAAAGAGGAGTCAACATTAGTGGAGGGCAGAAACAAAGAGTTTCTATGGCTAGAGCTGTTTATTCTGATTCTGATGTTTACATATTTGATGACCCCTTAAGTGCACTGGATGCTGATGTTGGCCGCCAGGTAACATCTTTTTTATTCTTACAACAACAACATCCAAACCTTATTCCCGAAAGAAAAACAAATGATTTCCTGTCATGTTTTCATTCTTATTCCAACGTAGGATCAAGCTTATATCACAAATCATGCTTATTCCTCTCTGCTACTCTTGTGTGTAAAGTGTAAACTTCTAAGAAAATGGCTATTACCTTCCGTTCAATTGAAGTTGTTATTTATTCAATTTTTTATTATATTGCATTCAGTTTTATCCTCCGCTAGCAAATCTTTTAGAGAAGACAGTTTCATTAGAACTATTTGTGGTTTTAGTCTTCACTCTCCAAACTGTGGTGTCATTTCACTTTATATGTCAGACTTTCAAGTTAAAATATTGAATTCCCCAAGGTGGTGGTATTTGAAAGTTGAATGGAGTTGATCTATTGTTGGGGTGTTGTAAAAACCTAATCAAGGTCCCGTTTCATCCATTTTCAATAGTTTGGATCCATTATCACCCACATTAATAGTTGAATTTGAATACTAAATAGTAAAATACCAATATAGTATTAGGACCAGAACAGAAATTGCTTTTCTTACATACTTTCTGCATGATTGTTTTCAGCAATGGAATTCTTACATTGAAGGTTCTACTCCACTAGATCTGATGATTTTTTAGTAGATTATCTTGTATCTCTATGTCTGAGAGCTATTCCATTCCTAGATACTCCATTATTGAAATTTAGTGTCTGACTATTATTCTCATTGCCAGGTTTTTGAGAAATGCATCCGGGGAGAATTAAGAGAAAAGACCAGAGTGTTGGTCACGAACCAGTTGCATTTTCTATCACAAGTAGACAAAATTATATTGGTGCATGACGGTATGGTGAAAGAAGAAGGAACTTTTGAATATCTCTCAAATAAGGGTGAGCTATTCCAAAAACTGATGGAAAATGCTGGAAAGATGGAGGTTTTTACGGATGAAAGCAAAATTTTGGATGTTGGTGATAAAACCTTAAATCCTGTTGCTAATGGTGAGGTTAATACCAACAACAACATCCAAGCCTTAGTCCCTAAAGAGTTTGGAGTCGGCAAATCTGTTCTTATAAAACAGGAAGAGCGGGAAACAGGTGTCGTGAGTTGGAAAGTTTTGAACAGGTAGAGTTTATATTGCTTTTTATGTGACCAAGTTTGTTCGTATATGACTCGTTTCCAGACTTTCTTGAATTCTTTTTCTTGCTAAGTTACAGAAAAAATCTCCAGAACTATCGGTGTCATAGCATAATGTTTCAATTAAGAATGTCTTAATAATCTAAACAGCTGTAAAGCTTCTTGAATGCATGCTTGTTTGGACCTGCTACAGCTTATTGGATAAGAAAAGAGTCCCATCAAGGAACCTCTTCAAAAGTTCTTTTTTGCCTCTTATTTTGCACAAAAGCCTTCTTTTAGTTTGTTTTAGCTTATATTTATCATTTTCATATGATTATCCGAAATAATTCTACGTTTAACGAAGTCCAAATATCAATACAAACATCTCTAGGGAGTATTTAGGGCTTATGCTCAAATTTGATAAACTCTTACGCCCATTGGAAAATCACTAACAGACGTCTTGCCAGTTCTAACAAATTTATGCAGGTGTCATCATTTTGTAAAGCTTAAAACAGTAATATTTTTTGTGATGTATCTGCTCCAAGTGCGAAAATATTGTTTAAAAAGATTTTCCAAGTTTATTTAGACTGTTTGGAGTTGCATTGTTGATCACTCTACCCTGGAATGTCGGAATTTCTGACTTGGTTGTTGCAATGGTTGTGGTATCCATCTCCCTTTAACATATTTCGAACATGTTTGCTTTTGATTAATGTGTTACTCCGAATAATATTTATGGAAATACTAGTTGTACTTAAATCATTATAAAACTTTACACTTATTAATGAAGCCTCATATGATGAACTCTTGGTGGACTACACTGATTCATTTGTAGTCGATAGCATAAAAAGTTTGTGGACCTACACCAGCCTATGGAAGTTGTTTGTAAAATGGTGTTTGCAAATTTCATTTTCCTAATATTGATTGATTTAATTATAAGTAGTTACTAACCAATATATTGAACGTCCTTATTCTCAGTTCAGTTTTGTTAGTAATATACATGTATAGTAAGGATGTTTTTACTTGGACTGAAATTTTCTGGTCTGGTCTGATATGATCTGGTCTGGTCTGGTCTCTGTGTATTTTATAACTATCCAAGTCTGGTCTGAGACTGAAAACAGTCCAAGTAAAAACATCCTAAGCTGGCATAGTTAGTTAAAATCTTGTTAGCTATGTTGTTATAGACTTAACTGTAATCTGTTAGTCTTACACTCTTATGTGTATAAATACTTCATGTACTCTACTCATTTGGTAATCAATATACAATTCATCTTCTCTTGATTCTAAACCCTACTGCACTTTCTAATATGGTATCACGAGCTTGCGTTTGATATTATTTTCATCGGCCATGGCGATTGATAGTACGCCATCATCGTCCACTTCTTCTACTGGAAACTTTATTTTTCCATTAGCCTATGCTCATCCACTTCACCTAAAGCTTGATTCTAACAATTTTCTATCTTACCCGGGAGCAACAACATCAGATGCTTCTCCTGGCTTCTGTCATCACTATCTGAATCGCTCCACGCATGTGTCATTCACTGTCGTCATTCCTACCAGATCTGGACTGAGATTCACAAATTCTTCACATCTAACATTGTTGCAAAATCTAGACAATTAAAATCTGAGCTATATACGACGGTTAAAGGTGAGTGCACTATATCTGAGTATCTTCTTCATATTCAGACTATCATTGATACACTACTTGGCATCAGTGAACCAATATATGCGAGGGATCATATCAATGTTGTACTGGAAGGACTTCCAGAGGAAAATGATTCACTTGTCTCTTCCCATTGCTGCTCGGAGTTCTCTAGATCCTGCTAATGTTTCAGAAGTTGAATCCTTACTTCTAGCCAAGGAAATGAGACTTCGCAAACTTCGAATAATCTCAGACAGCCAGTGACCCAGACTCTCAGAACTCTCAGGATACTACATCTGCTCACCTTGTTCACACAAATCATACTACTACACGTGGCGGTGGTGGTCAGTACAGAGGCAGAGTTTGTGGTAATTCATTCCGAGGTAGCTTTCGAGGTGGAGGTCGTTTTTGTGGTTGCTCCCCTGTTATCTGTCAGGTGTGTGATAAACCTAGTTACCATGCTTTAGTTTGCTATCATCGTTTTAACCCTGCATACAATTCCCAGCCATCTACCTCTCAGGGAAACTGTTCTAGACCTCCAGCATCTATGCCTAACTATCCTCCACCAACTCATTTCCCACAGCAACCTGTTCAGCTGATCTTCTCTCAGCCTCCAGGATCTGTAAATTGGGGGTCACAGCCAACTTTCTCTTCTTCACATTCTGAACCACCTTCTACAGCTTGGGCTTGTGCCAATTCTTCTGTTCTTGAACCTGCTCCACTGCCTCAAGCCTGGTTTCCAGATTCAGGGGCTACTCATCATGTCACTGCTGATCATCTTAACTTGCACCACAGTGATTCCCCTGCCAACTATGATAAACTCTTTATGGGCAATGGGCAAGGTTTGCATATCATGTCTGTTGGTTCTTCCTTCTTATCTCCATATCACCCTTCTCGTTTTCATTCCTTAAACAATATGCTTCATGTTCCTTCTATTACTAAGAATCTCATCAGTGTTAGTCAGTTTGCCAAAGATAAACAGGCTTTCTATGAATTTTATCCTTGTGAATGTTTTGTTAAATCTCAGATTTTGTTAAATCTCAGGTTTCTAAAAAAGTTCTCTTGTATGGTACACTTGGCAATGATGGTCTTTACAGATTTCAGTCTTTTCCTGAAATCTCTAGCCTTATACCCTTTGTAATAATAATATCCATTCGTCCAAAAAGAATAGTCACGTTTTTCACAAATTGTGACCCAAAAAAGTGTCTTGTTTCATCAAAAGACACTGTTTTCACGCAATTACCAATAAAAAAGTTACAAACTAGTCCAGTACAACCAACAAATAAATTTTAAAGTTGACAATAACCTATAACCATTGTACCCTGTCAAAGTAAAATAATAAAACTTAGTCAGACATGGTTTCTTGTTTTGGGGATGGATGAAGCATATATTCAACATATGGCATTTCCATAGTTCTCAGAAAAAATGCTCATGCAATTAATCGTGTCAGTGATTTATCCATTCATATGTAATGAAAAGTATTTCCTCAGTCTTGTTTATTGATAAGTTGATTCCAATGCTCATGTAATTAATCGTGTCAGTGATTTATCCATTTATATGTAATGAAAAGTATTTCCTCAGTCTTGTTTATTGATAAGTTGATTCCATTTTGTAGGTATAAGGATGCTCTAGGAGGCGGGTGGGTAGTTATGATATTGTTGATGTGCTACATCTCATCTGAATCTCTTCGAATTGGAAGCAGTACATGGTTAAGTATTTGGACTGATGAGACCAGTTCAATGCGATATAGTGCCATGTTCTACAACATGATCTATGCAGCTCTATCCTTTGGTCAAGTATGTTTTATTGAGACTTCCACATTATTATTTCTTGATATATCTTCTTTTACTACATTAAGATGTACTATTATATCGTACTCTGAATACGATGATATAACTTTTCCTGATGTATATGGCGAAATTTACTGCATAGGTTGAAGTAATCATTGTAGAACAAATTGCCTCAGTAAATTATCTGCATTTCAGGTGTTGGTAACCCTTACCAATTCATTTTGGTTGATCACTTCAAGCCTTTATGCTGCTAGAAGGTTGCATACTGCCATGTTGAATTCCATCTTAAGAGCTCCAATGGTCTTCTTTCACACGAATCCACTCGGGAGGATTATCAATAGGTTTGCTAAGGATCTAGGAGACATAGATCGGAATGTTGCACCATTTGTCAATATGTTTATGAGCCAAGTTTCCCAACTCATTTCCACATTTGTGCTAATTGGTATAGTTAGCACAATGTCTTTGTGGTCCATAATGCCACTCCTAGTCTTGTTTTATGGTGCTTACCTTTATTATCAGGTATTTTAATTTTTTACACGGTTTTCCGTAAAAAAATAAAAATGCATTGCATAATGTGATAAATTTCATTGCACGTCAATCATCTTAATATCCCTCTAATCTCATTTAAATTGGTCCATATTATATGTTGATATGTAACTCTTTTCTCTCCACGGGTTTGTTTTCGTACATCAACTTCCTTGCTGCTTGTGCGATCATTCAACTTAGAATATGGTAGTGTCCTTCAAAGCTTCCTAAGATTTGTTCAATACTTAGCAAATTATAATCTTCTTGCTTGCTTTACTCATCAGTTTAACTGTTGATAGAAGCAATAAAATGACTAACACACTAGATGACAACAAAGAGTGCACTATATAGTATATATAGACACCAATGCACCGCTTAGGATACAGCCCATTGCAAAAGAATTCAGAGCTGCTTTGACAGCCCTGTGAGGCTGTGATTCACCCGGGGATTCTCTAGGGTGGCATCACAGCTTCTGGGAATACAAAATGCATAATATACAGCACAAGAGAGGCACTGGTTTTGCATTAGGTGATGCAGATAGAAAGGGTGAGATGAAGTCAGAGTTTTGCCTGATCCCTCATTTAATAGAGGAAGCGGATGAAGATGTCATTTAACTGGACATCATTCTTTGCTTTAAAAATGTTTGTCTTCCGGAGCAATGATTACATTTCTTATAATATGATAATATTACTTCGATCTTGTATTGCTTGTAATTTTTTTAGAAGGAACTTAAACACAGTTTTCTAACTTCATGGATGCCTTATGTGCTCCTTCAGTCATATAATACAAATGTTTTTTACAGAGCACTGCCCGTGAGGTAAAGCGCTTGGATTCCATTTCCAGATCTCCTGTATATGCACAATTTGGAGAAGCACTGAATGGTCTCCCAACTATACGTGCTTATAAAGCTTATGATCGAATGGCCCACATTAATGGGAAATCCATGGACAATAATATTAGATTCACTCTTGTGAACATGAGTGGAAATCGTTGGCTTGGAATTCGTCTGGAGACATTGGGGGGCCTTATGATTTGGCTCACTGCAACATTTGCTGTGGTGCAGAATGGAAGAGCAGAAAATCGAATGGCTTTTGCATCCACTATGGGATTGCTTCTCAGTTATGCCTTGAATATTACAAACCTACTAACTGGAGTGTTAAGAGTGGCTAGTATTGCTGAGAATAGTTTAAATGCTGTTGAGCGAGCTGGCACATACATAGAATTGCCTTCAGAAGCACCTGCTATTGTTGAGGGCAATCGCCCTCCTCCAGGATGGCCCTCGGCGGGATCCATTAGATTTGAAAGTGTTGTCTTACGCTATAGGCCTGAACTTCCTCCCGTTTTGCATGGTATATCATTCACTGTTCCACCTAGTGACAAGGTTGGGGTGGTTGGGAGAACAGGAGCAGGAAAATCGAGCATGTTAAATGCTTTATTCAGACTTGTGGAACTGGAAAGAGGAAGGATCATTATTGATGATTGTGATGTTTCAAAGTTAGGATTGATGGACCTCCGTAAGGTTCTTGGTATCATACCACAGTCACCTGTTCTGTTCTCAGGTATGTATTTTTTGTCTAACTATACATAAAATCACTAACAGAGGAAGGGGATATGTACCGAAGTACATGTTTGATCTTCTTTCTTTTTCTGGTTTAGGTTCCTTAAGGTTTAAGTACATCTTGAAATTGTTGTCCTTTTTTTGTAATTGGATGTAGGTGCAGGCTATGCATGTTTAAATATATGTGAGAGAAAAAGAATGGTATATGATAGTTGGCATAATTCAAAAGGATATCTATACGTGAAATAGGGTATAAAGAAAGAACTTGCAAGTTGTACCGTAAACAGATCGTACTAGCTAGCAACAACAACATCCAAGCCTTATTCTCAAAAATTTTGGGGCCGGCTAACATGAATCGATCCATGATATCAGAGCCAAAAAGACTAGAAAGATAAGAAGAATAAAAAGATAAAGTAAGATAAAAAAAATCATTTTATCTTACTAGCTAGCATTGCAAAAAAAATGTTAAGAACCCTAGTATTTTTAACATTTCAGTTAGAGAGGAAAAACAAAAAGAGAAGGATAGAAGTGAAAAAGTTGTAAGTGTACAAGGAATTAAACAGATCTTACAAAGTTACAGTCTTATCATTTCAAACCAATAACGTAGTTCATCACTTTTATTAATTCTAGTAAGAGCTCTAAAACAATATTGATTATTGACTCGTATAATTTGTTAGAAAACACTTATATTGGAACTGTTGTTCATAGTGAAAGACCAACCTAGACATATTAATGTTTAGTGCCATCAACTCCGGCAATCAAATGGTCAGCTACTCCTCATCCTATGAATCGTAGTTCCTTGGTGAAAGACTTGCTGGCACTTGACTTTGCAGTGGTAGTAACAGGACTACCCACAATAATCGATACATTCTTTACTGAATTATAATCTGATCTGGGGTTTCCACTCGAGTTAATTAGTCCAGAAATTCATGAAGGCTATGGTTGTTGGAAAATACTAATGAGTGCAGCAAGGAGGTTTCCTGGAGTAGCTAACTAAGCTGGAGAATATGGACCAAAAAGCTAGCAATTTTAACGAGGGGGGTCTACTAAGGGTGATTGGCATTCTTTATCGGTGACAGGAAAGATGGATTGTCCCACTTCTCCCTCTTGAAATGATATGTGATTTTGATTTCACCAGCAAAGCTTTCCAAATGTATTAGTACAAGAGGACATACATTCTGGGACATTTTGCTCACTATTACCTGGAAATTATTAGACCACAAGAGCATCTCTGGTATCACATCGGAGCTCCTTTATTTTAAATGATATGCTATTATAATCAGCGCAAGTATATATAGACACATCACCAGAGAAAGGGTAACAAATATGTGCGCCAACTCTACTGGAGTCTTTTTTAAGTCTACTTATGTTGTGCACTGTAAGAGAAATATGGTGCCTAGTTGTGTACCAAGTTTGTCGTGTTTTTGTGCAGAAACCCTTGCATGGACTTGATAGAGCTATTCTAAGATTACATCGTAGCTTACTTAAATAAAACAGTGAACTCATACTGGGAACATTTTCTGATTTGGTATGGCACAATGAAGACCGAAATTGTTTTTCTATTTTTTTTATTTCTTTTTTTGGGATAGGTAGTGTTAGATTCAACCTTGATCCATTCAATGAACACAATGATGCTGATCTGTGGGAGGCTTTAGAGAGGGCGCATCTCAAAGAAGTGATCAGAAGGAGCTCTTTGGGTCTGGACACTGAGGTATATGTTGCATGAATCTATTCTCTTGTGGCATGAATCTTTCATGTAACAATGATTCTGTACCCATTAGCAATTCTATTAAGTTATAATTAAAAAGGGTAGTTCTTTGATTCGACTCTGTGATACCCTTTCGTTAAATCATATTCAGCTATAGGAATATGTAACCACTGTTGTTACAGCATTGCCTATTCAGCAACTAGGCGTCCGGGTGCTGGGTAGTTTTTGCCAGTTGCCATTGGCTCGTCTGAAGATGACAAGGCGACTATATCGTCGTCCGGGCGCAGTCCAGGTTTCGCCAAGGCTAAGAGGCGACACCGGAAATTAGAAATTGATACTTTTCAGAAATTAGAAACCCAGCCCAAACAAATATTTTTTATCATAAATATAACAGCCTGGTCTTATGGGTGATGAGGAAGTCTAAATTTCAGAAGAAAAGGAACCCTACGCTGGAAACTTCTCATCTCTCGCAGGACCCTCTTTGGTCTCAACTCACAAGAATTGTCTCTTCTTTCTTTCGATCTGCAGTCCGCAGTAGTTCGTTACTTTTGTTCGTTCTCTTCTTTTATGTTTTTCTTGTTCTTTCTTTCTTTCTTTCTTCTTTCTTCTTTTTTATATGTATATAAAAAAGGCAGGCCAGTGCACATTGCAAGTATAGTGTATGCTTAATTATTACTTCCTCCGTTCTTTTTTAGTTGCAACATTCTCATTATCACGCGTGCCAATGCACAACTTTTACCGTCATTATATTTAATTCTCATCATCATCATCATCATCATCATCATCATCACCCTAGTGCCGCAAAGGCTCCCACGGTGGGGTGGGGGTCGGATGTACGCAGCCTTACCCCTGTACTAAAGCACAGAGAGACTGTTTCCGATGATCCAAAGTGAAAATCACATCGAAAATTGCATGGACTGACTGCTGCTTTATAACAAAGAAGAGCAGACAGTTTAGTGAGCCATTTTGCTTTATTCCATCATATTTAATTCTCTATTAGCAAAAAAGTTTAAAATTGGGTTTGAAAATTTGTAATGGTGAATTCAACAATATTTTTCAAAAAAAAAATAATATTTTCATGCATTAATAAATAAAGTGTAGTCAAAGTAGAGCATGTAAATACTGTAAAATTTTCCATGTTGCAGCTAAAAAGAAACGGAGGATAGTATAAATTGAAACTTATACATTGTAAATATAAGAGATGATTTAGTTCTTGGTGATTTTTGAGAACTTAGTAGTTTGAATACTTTAATACATTATTTGAAATGATTGTTTTACTATTGTTTTGAGTTAATTTCAGTGCTAGGCAATATATAATTAAATTTGTAATATAATATATTACGAAGTAATTATCTTTAAATATATTATTTTTATATTTAAATATTCTGTATGCTGCTGCTAGCCTGCTAGTCACCTAATTGTCGTCTAAGCAGGTGCATAGTCGCCTAAGTGATAAGGTAGTCGGCTGGCACCGCGCCTCGCCTTACTGCCGTAACAACCATGTATGTAACTAACTATACTAACTCACATGACCAAAACATGTGTGATGGAATCACAAGAGATTAAGTAAAAATATGATGCTTTAAAAGTTAAAAGTCCTACTATGGTACAAGACTATATGCCTTGGGTTAAGTTTTAGCATTTTGCTAACACGTTAACACTATGTATTCCCTCTTCCATGCAAGTTCCTACTATGGTACAAGACTATATGCCTTGGGTTAAGTTTTAGCTTTTTGCTAACACGTCAACACTATGTATGTGTAATGAAGGTTTCAGAGGCAGGAGAAAATTTCAGTGTTGGGCAGAGGCAACTACTAAGTCTTGCCAGAGCATTGCTTCGCAGATCAAAGATCCTAGTCCTTGATGAAGCAACAGCTGCTGTTGATGTTAGAACCGATGCTCTTATACAGAAAACCATAAGAGAAGAATTTAAATCGTGCACAATGCTGATTATTGCTCACCGTTTGAATACAATCATTGATTGCGATCGAATTCTTCTTCTTCATTCGGGTCAGGTAAGGAACCCCCCCCCCCCCCCCCCCAAGAGTCTTGTTTCCAAGGGGGGCAATAGAGATTTACCAGGTCATTAACTTCAAGGCCTGTGGGATTATTTGGTCTAAAGACCGTGGACACCCGCATTATTATAAAAAAGAATGATGGAGCGGAGGTAGTAATTAACAAGTAGAAAGTAATGTGATGACTTTCCCAACAGTCCATTTCACTACTTATCCTTATTTTCTATATATATTCTTCAGGTCTTGGAATATGATACTCCAGAGGTGCTTCTACGAAATGAGGAAAGTGCATTTTCTCGTATGGTTCAAAGTACAGGGACGGCTAATGCTCAGTACCTGCAAAGTTTAGTTCTTAGTGGTGGACGTGATATGAAAGCCGATATGGAAAAACAGCTAGATGGGCAAAGGAGATGGTTAGCCTCTTCCCGCTGGGTTGCTGCCACCCAGTTTGCATTGGCTGTAAGCCTAACTTCATCGCAGAATGACCTTGTGCAATTGGAAGTTGAAGATGGTGATAATATCCTCAAAAGAACAAAGGATGCCGTAATCACTTTACAGGGAGTGTTAGAAGGGAAGCATGACACATTGATTGAAGAGACTCTGGATCATCACCATGTTTCCAGAGACAGATGGTGGTCTTCTTTATACCGAATGATTCAAGGTAAAGGATTTAAATGTTCTTCCGTACTTAGTCCTCTGAACCTATAAAGGTACATATTACCCTAGGGGTGAAAGAATAGTTGTCTGCAAAAATGCGTGAAGTAGATCATCATTGCTGCACAAGTTTTGTCCAGTAGTGCACTTTTCCAGTAGTGGACCTTTCGTTTCTTTATCAGCGTTGTCCTGTAGTGTGTATGTGTCTTATTTACCCTTTTGTGCCTCAGGTCTTGCAATGATGAGTAGACTGGCTCCTAGCAAACTGCATCATGGAGAGCTTGTTTTTGAGGAAAAAACCATTGACTGGGATAATAGTCAGATGTAGGAGTAGAGCGCACTCATTCAAGGTTGAAAATGAACTTCTCCCAAAAATGCCTTTTAAGTGCTTTCTATCTTTCAATAAGAAAATGCTTTCTGAAATGCTGCAAGTGTTGTTACACAGATAGATAAGTGGACTAAAATCGTGGTTTTAATTTGTTAGAAAACGCTTTAGTCATCAAAATCGTTTGATTATTTCATAATTACATATTGGGGCGTGGGTTAATTCGCCAAAGGCACACTTGGGTCTTGAATAATGGTGCATTAATTCCTCCGTTTTTATTATACCAGACTAGAAATCTGGTTTCTGTTGGTGGGTTGGGCGTATGAGGCTTTGCATGATGTTTGAGAAGCATACATTTTTATTGTTAAAGAACTACTATGTCCGATCCACTAACATTAAGACATTAAGAAGTGGTACGTTTATTAAGAAAATGGGTTTATGTGATTGATATTGAATTGATAAAGTAAGAAATATTTAGAAATTAGAATTGCATAAATTTTACTAAATTTGATATGTGACAAACATAGTGACTAGTGAGACAAACTGAAAATCTGGTTTCTGTTGGTGGGTTGGGCGTATGAGGCTTTGCATGATGTTTGAGAAGCATACATTTTTATTGTTAAAGAACTATGTCCGATCCACTAACTTTAAGACATTAGGAAGTTGTATGTTTATTAAGAAAAGTGAGTTTATGTGATTGATATTGAATTGATAAAGTAAGAAATATTTAGAAATTAGAATTGCATAAATTTTACTAAATTTGGTAGGTAACAAACTTAGTGAGACAAACTGAAAAAGAAATACCGAAGTGCTTCTCCCATGAAAAGTTCAAATTAATCTAATACGCCTCTTGGTGTAATATCAAGAGTTAATAATCGCTTGAGATGGTCCACAATTCCTAAAAAGAACAGTTGTTGAGTCGAGGATAGTTTTGTAAATTGCGTAGTTACTTACTCATTTTTAATTAACAATTAAGTTAATGTTTATGAAATAAATCCATTAATTTATGGAATTAATTGCTTCATAATTAACCTTTCTAGAACCTATATAAATATCTGGTTTCTGTGTATTTTATAACTATTGAAGTCTGGTGTGGTCTGAAGTCTGAACTGGACAGGTATGGTCTAGTCTATTTAAGTGTGGTTTGGTGACTTTGGTCTGATCTTGGACTAAAAACAGTCCAAAGAAAAACATCTTTAGTCCCATGATATGAGTATTATCTATATAATAGTTGTTATATTGGATTAACTATTTTATTATGTGAGATCAATTTAATTTAATTATTGCACTTTATTCAAAAGTCCATGAGTTGCATTCTATTATTCTGGTATGTGTATTAATTCTATAATCACTTATGAAGTAAAAGTTCATATACTGCATTTTATGATTATAACATGTACACTCTAGAAATTCATATATTGCATTTTAGTGATAAAAAGTGACTTTTTAATTTCCAAAAAAGAGACTTGATGTGAAGGGATTATTATACCCTTATACTAATATAATATCATTAACTAGTCTAAAGTGACGCTACAATGACTAAAACTTCATGAGTGACCAAAAACTCATTAGTGGCCAAAAATCCGTTAGCAGGCCCGACCAAAACCCATGTGCAAGTGGTGCCAGACTGCCAGAGCACATGGTCCCCATTTATAAGATGGCCCCCAATTTTTATTGAGATAGGCCATTAGGAAAAAAGTTACGTAAGTTTTATGTAAAAGCCCGACAAGGAATGGGGAACTTTTCTGCATGGTATGACCAAGGCTTGAAATTGCACATTGCGTAGCCGAGACGTTTTTTCAATATTGCATATTTGTAAGCCTCATTGCGCAATGAGGCGTATGCCTGAGGCGTAATACACACACACGTGCATGCATGCATGCATACGTACATAAATACATATAAAAACATATTATACTACCGTATTAAAACAAACCATAAGAGGCCATAATCCTGGCAAAGTAATACGCTCAAATTTCAAAGTACCATAGAAATATAGAATATCAAAACTTTCTGAGTGGTTTATAAAAAAAAAGTAAGATATGAAAATTTAAATTTATAAGATTGATCGACTAAAATATCAATCACTAACTAAGAGTTTAAAATAGGGATCATAACATCAATTATAATAATTTAAAAGTGGGGGCCCAAATAATACTCTTAAACCCTGACCTCGCCTGCGAGCTCAAATTATACCTTACAACCGGCACACCACGAGGACGGTGTGAAGGGTCCTAAAAAAGAAAAAAAAAACATATCATCGATCATCTTCCGCCGCGGCAAAGCGGAGCAACACCAGGTTTGAGCATCGATCATCTTCCTCAAGCTCTTCAACCTACTTAGAAATTAATTAGATTCTTTGCTTTTCACTCTCTCAACTACGTACAAAGCCACATCTCTTTTAGAACAAAAAACAATTTCTTTTGCTTTGATTTTACATCTAATATGAATTTTTAAATATGGATCTGAAACTAGTGCTGGACTCGGTTCGGGCCGGGCCCGGTTCGGGCCTTGAACCGGCCGGGCCTCGGTTCACCAAAAGGAGGGCCCGGGCCCGAACCGGCAGGTGACCGGTTCCGGGCCGGTTCCGGGCCAGACCGGGCCGGTTCCGGGCCGGTTCACCCGCCCCATTTTTTTTTTTTTTTTGATTTTTTTGCTTCTCTTATTTAACCCCCTATCCCTCCCCCTCAACCCCAAACCACCCCAAACCACCTCAAATGGCCCAAAATACCTAATCCAACCCAAAAATTAAAAAAAATTAAAAAAAAAATTAAAAAAAAAAATTATTCCGGCCCGGACCCGAACCGGCCGGGCCGGTTCACCAAATAGAGGGCCCGGGCCCGGAACCGGTATCCACCGGGCCGGTTCGGCCCGAACCGCCGGTGGACCGGGCCACCGGGCCGGGCCGGTTCACACAGTAACCGGGCCGGGCCGGTTCCGGTTCGGGCCGCCCGGCCCGAGTCCAGCACTATCTGAAAGCAAATTCTTTAGATTTGATTTAGGAGGTCAACATATTATTCCAATTCAGATTAATCTGAAATTTTCCATTCTCTTGGATGTTGATTTCACAAGTTAAATCTCCTTGTTCCCAAGTTACATTTAAATATATATGCTAAAGTTAAATTCACAAATTACATCAGATTTGTTCCCACGTTACATTTGAATCAAAGCAGTTTACATTTCAACGAGTTACATGTGAATGGGTGCAATTTACATTTTGATTAACTTGAAGTTACATCTCGAATCACACGAGTTACATTGCATATAACCATGGGTGCATGGTGCTCACCATGCACCGGTTGCATAGTATACGGCTTCACCTGAGAGCGCCTTATTGCGTATGCCTCAGTGCAATATTGCGTACGCCATAGTCTTTTACGCATTATATGCAACGTCTTTTACGCCATAGTCTAGGAATTATCAGAGGCGCGCCATGAGGTGCAATTGCATTGCGCAATTACAAACAATGGGTATGTCATGTCTGGTATTTGACTATTCATCGACAGATATTCTTTGAGTTCAAATAGGATAATGAATTCTCAAAAAGCCAAAAGGCAGTTGGTGAGGCGCTATAGGAAAATAGATTTCTAGATTGACACACTATGAAACTATATATGCTTATTTATAAGACCAGATGCTAGATTTGGTTAACGGTAGTACGATAGGTACAAATGTATAATCATGGAGGTCTAGCACATCCGCTTAGTGTTAGACCAATAGCTTAGGTAAAATTTCATTTAGTTTCTCCAACTGTCTCTCTTGACGTTCGACACGTTTAAGCTTGTGTTGCTCAAAGCCCCAAACGCTTCTAACTTCTTAGAGAAATTCTATTTGTACACGTTCCTATACACATTCTTATACACTTGTCTGTGACCAGCGGCAGATTTACCTATGGTCCAGGTAGGGCCTAGGCCCAACCTCAAAAAAAAAATTACTAGTATATATGTATTATACTATATGTAGTGTTGTTAAATAAGGTATAACAACAAAAAAAAGTCAAAATAAACATGAATTTCGTATTAGCAAGATGGAAATGTACTACCGTGTTAGTTTGCATGTCCTTAGTTCGAATCCCAAGTACAACATTTACTTTTAACCATTCAATATAATGGTAGAGCAAAGTGTGTAAACATTTTTTTTACTTCTAAAAACTCTTTGTCTCACACTGGAAGAATAAAAGGATTCTTCCTTCAAACATATATATTTAAACTTGATCTCCTAAGTTTAGTTAATACAAGCTTAACACCAATCTCAAACGGTGAATGAGCTAAATAGTAATATCGTGAACACTATTGAGCTTTTGAATATTAGTCTGAAAAATTAATTTGTTCAATTCATTGGGCTTGGTAGGTGAAAATTAGTTTAATATGTATGCATTTGAGGTGTTTTTGTATTCGACAAAAAGTCTTATTCCTGTTATATTTATTTTTTCTTCGACATTTATGTTGCAAAAGAGGTTTTATTTTATACATAGTATTCTTAAACTAGTACTATTTTACTACGTTTTGACATTTTTTTGCAATATAAGTTGTTTAATGAATTTTTGGCCCCACCTGATTGAAAATGTTGGATCCGCCCCTGTGTGTTGTCTGTGGATTTTTTTTTTTGTCTGTGACAGACAAAACATGCCGGTTCACAGACAAAAAAAATGGCCCGCCACATACAAGTGTATAAGAACGTGTACAAATAGAATTTCTCAACTCCTTATCCTTCGGTCCTTCATGCGGAGAGCTTCTTCCAGTTTTGAAGGTATTCCGCAGGACCTATGTTAGGTTCAGTTGTAAGTTTTTTATGTGAGTTTGATGGTTTTTGATTAGTGCTTTGATGTTGCTAGATACTCCTTCCACCCCGCTAAGGTTGTCCCATTTTATCATTTCGGTCCGTCCCACTAAGATTGTCTCACACCAAATTTGGTAAAGTTTGTGTAGCTCAAAATCATTCTTACTTTATCTATTCAATATCAACTACATAAAACACTTTTTATTGATTGTGTCACTCTCTCTTGTCTCATTGTTAGTGGAACGGAGGCAGTAATACGGAGTACAAAGTATTACTTTTTGTCTCAGGTAGGAAATATGGAAGATGGAAGGATGAGATTGATGGCTTCAGACAGATTTGTTTTAGGAAAGGAGTTCAATTCAGACATGTCCTGCGAGAAGGGAACGGGCCTGCGCATTTACTTGCAGGCATTTCTCCAGCCCAATTTACTTTATGGACTAATATGCATCTCTTGCCCAATCCGATTAAGGTTGCTATTAATTTTGATTTATTTAATTTTCCTTCTTTTAGAGGTTTAAATTAATGTTGTATTAATAGATTAGGTCAGGTTTAGCCCCCCTAATCTGTTTTCTTATATTATTTTATTTCGATGTATTTGGAGGAGGTATGCCTTCTCTGAAGGGGTCTTGGTCTAGTCCCCCCTTCTTATTGTTCCAATGTTAATATTAATAAAACAATGGTAAATGTTCTCCGACATTTACTCCACTGATTTTTGTGGTTTACCTTCCGGGTTAAAAAAAAGTAATAGAAAAAAGTACTACCTCCGTCCCGGAAACAAGTTCCCGAGTTGTTTTTTTTATTTGTTTTTTTTTTACCCGGTGAGTTTCGGGGCCAGGGAACACCCCACCTGTTTATTTAGCAAAATGAAATACATGAGTACGAGGACCAAACCAAGCCTACCCCAAATTAAAGTACATGCGGATAACTAATAGCATCAAACTTAAGAATACCAACAAAATGATTAAAATGATGAGAATTGGTTTTAATTGAAGTATTTCGATATGCCAGGTTGATTTTCACACATTTTAAGGAAATAAAGTTACTGAGGGGTAAATTTTACTGTTTTGACACTGTTTCGACACTGTTTTAATGTAGATAAATTTGCCAACTAAGGAAATGAGAAGTTTATTTTGGGACATCCAAACAAGGAAAGTGAGAACTTGTTTCCGGGACAGAGGGAGTATTACTTTTTGTATTTAAGGCCTCCATATATTTTTGAACAAGACCCTTGATATGTCAGGGTCGAGCTTGTCCATTAGTGACCTGCCAGTGACCCGCCGTTGTCGGTTACAGTTACCCGACCTGTCAAATATAGTTACCCGAATCGTCAGTTATAGTTATCTAACCCATCCAGTTACAGTTACTTAGTCCGCCCAGTTACAATTACTTAGTCTGCGTGTCCAGTTACAGTTACTTGACCCGTCTAGTTACAGTTACTTGACCCGCCAAGTTACAGTTACCTGACCCAACTAATTACAATTATCTGACCCATTTAAGTTATCCAACCTGACTAGATATTAGTCACCTGATTCGATTAATAACAGTTACAAGCCTGATTAATTACACTTACAATTACAACCGCCACCCAAATGATTTTTAAATGCCATCTGCCACATGTCGCCGCAACGCCGTTGGCACCCCACAAACCGCCTACGCCTCTTGCCCCAGGCCCCAGTCCCAATCCCCGTGTTTCACATCCCACCCTTGCCCCCTCCATAGATCTAGGTCAGGCTAGCACAACCCAACCCTCATGCACTTCTCCCCAGTCCATCGTCGTCCGACATTAACTTACATGCCTAGTTGCCGGACCAACAAATCCTAGTCGTCGCCAACTCGCCAAAAACTTTAATCGCAGCCTATAAATTCTAATTGTGTCGCTGCCTTAAAGATGTAGTCACACCACCGCAACCGCCATTGATCTAAATCCTTGGCAACCATCACTGTCGATGATCTAAAGCCTTAGCGCCGATCTAAAGCTTTAGTCGGGCTCTATCAACGCCCAACGATGAACGTTTGTGATGTAGATGAGAGAACCCCGTTGAGAGGAAGACGAACATTGGCGGTGTTATGATAAGGCATACAGCGGCGAAGAAGAGATGAGAAAAAATCTCAGAATGAATAAAATAGAAGAAATCAGATTGATCTGTTGCTTGCAATGTGGAGCTGTGATGGAGGAATGCACAGGGAAGGCTGGGCAGCTGGAGATCGGATATGATGGAGAGAAGATGGAATAGGGTTATGTTTATTTCAGGGCATTTTAATCAATTAACTAATGTTCAGTCTCTTTTTTGTCCTAATTTTAAGAGTCATTCTTTCTTTTAGAAATTCATGTGCTATATCTTATCTTTTTATCATCTACATTGCATATTCAATTAACTGGCATACAAAATTCATGAGATTGCAACGACACGATGTATAAAATATGGTTTGAGAATTATGTGTTATCTAAAATCAAAATGCGCACTACTATGGATGGAAAATCACACCTTTTTTGTTTCTATGATGGAAAATCTCTAATAGAATGTGCACCTCCATAAATCAAGATGTATACCATTCTCATTTCTCACAAACAACACACAAACACATACATATGGAGCGATTCTGATGAGAAAGGACTCCCAGAGTCCCAAAAGAGAAATGAGAATGAGTTTAGACTGTTGAATTGTATATTGTGAAATTACATTGTGCATTTGGTGAAACTAAAATTCACATTATGTGAAATTAAAATGTGCAAAATAAAAGACAACTCACATGAGCATAGATGAAATTGCACATTTCAGTTTCACCTGATACACAATTCAATTTCATCTAATGCATAATTTAACTTCACATAATGTCACTGTCTCGTATCTTGTTGCAAGTTTCAATTTCACTTGATGCACTTTTCAGTTTCACTACTTTCACTTGATGCACATTCAATTTCATAGTCTCCCTCCATCCCACTGACAATGGGACAAGAGGGAGTGACACGCAAATTAATAAAAAGTGGTTTATGTTGTTGATATTGAATTGATAAAGTAAGAATAAAGTAAGAATGATTTAGAGCCATATAAACCTTACCAAATTTGGTATAGGACAATCTTAGTGGGACGGATCAAAAAGATAAAATGGGACAATCTTGGGGGGGGATAGTAATACAACCTAATGGTCCAAATTCATTCTCATTTCTCTCTAAGAATAGACTCGGTTCAGATTCTGAAACGCTCATCATTGGTTGGAGAAGCCTAGGTCCAACCCAATTATATCCAGGTGCAGACCGATTCCCATACCGAGCAGTCTGGACCAAATCCCATTCTTTTTTTGCCTGTTGTTCCGGGATTTCCATATCAGAACCACCTGATAGGATCTCCATCAGGTAGTTCTTCATTTTAGGCCAAAAAATGAAGATTATGGTCTATTTTTTATTGATTTATGCTTGTTTGCTTGGACACACGCATGCCTTTTTAAAAAGGACTAATTTTTTTAAACAGATCATATTCAAATAAAAAAGCTTCTCACAGGAGTCACAGCTACAAAACAAAAAGAAAAGTATTCAGGTGCAGTGAAATATATAACGATCTGCTTCTATTTCATTATGGAAGGTAAACATGTAAACTCTATACAGAAACCCGTAATTCCCTAAAGAAGACAATCCCTTGAAAGATCCCGTATACAAACAAAAATAAGCGGAAGTTTCTTCGACTGGTTAAAAGGATAGCATTACACCTTCCATTCCTGTTGAGCGGAGTTGCTTGAGGCATCAGTCGGAAAGATTTCTTGAAGTAATACTTATATATTTATTTTCTGGCATAGATGTCATTTCAATGTGAAAGCAGCATAGTTTAGTTGGAAACATACATTTGCAAAAATCATTTGACGACCTTCCCGATTGAATTTTTTGCTGAAATTTGGTATGGATAAACTAGACTTGATGAGGAACATACACAAAAAATTTGAGCAAAAAATACCACCGGGAAGGCCCCCAAATGGAGGAGGCCGGACGGGGCTCCTGTCCGGAAATTCCGGACAGGAATAGCTTCTATATATATATATATATATATATATATATATATATATATATATATATGCATGTAAGCGAGTGTGTGTTTGGTGTATCAAAAGTATATAAATGTGCACGCTTGGTGTACATTTTTCGCCATCACCATTTTCATAAAATCACAACTGACATGATAAGCTTGAAAACTTCACAAGAAGAAAACTCACCTCACAGATGAAACAATTACACAGCTTTAGTATATTCTCCACCCAATTCCCTTCTGATCAGCTTCAGGATTTGAATGACCTACAAAACAAAGTAAATTCACAGTAAACAAAAGGTGCATACTGTACAAACGACATTGAGAACATCTTTTTAAGTTAGCTATAAATGAAAAGAAATTTAAAGAAAAGTATCATCTCAATGAATTTCACTAAATGATTGACTCATCTTACTCCGGGATAGTGCTGTAGAATAGGTGAGTAATGGTCAAGTGCTATATAAATCTTTTCAAGCAGGCCCAAAAGTACATCCACCTCATCGCCAAGAAGATCAACCTGAGTTCCAAATGTGTAGTTTAAGGTACACACAAACGCATAAGCACACACATATAGGAAAAGGCTCTGTATGTAGTTTCCATTTTATAGTTAATTTTAGTGATTCAAATACTACACAGTTGAAATATAAATCAGTTAAAGGTGTCTATAATGTGGTAACTGTTCATAGATCAGACTTTGATAATAAGTCACTTAATATGCAGGTTTTTGTACTTGGGAGGTAACTGTGTTATCTTTCTACTCTTCCAATCAATCTTTCATGTTATAAGCTAGTTCTAGGATATGAGAAGTGTAAATTAACAATATATCTTTGAGTATCACTACAAAACCAAAATCTTCTTTCTCATTCCCAGGTCACCTTGATAAAGCCTTTAAGTAGGTAGTTACCTCGGCCTCGGCCATTTGAAGGTCTGAAGATCTCTTTTCAAGTGATTGTTGACAGATTAAATCCCTTTTTCTAAGCAAATTTGCTTTCTTGACAAGTGATTTCAACTTGCCTTGTGAATGTTCCAATCTGAAAATAGCAAGAATGAATATAATAAAGCTACACAGTTAATAAAGCTCTGTATGTAGTTTCCATTTTATAGTTAATTTTAGTGATTCAAATACTACACAGTTGAAATATAAATCAGTTAAAGGTGTCTATAATGTGGTAACTGTTCATAGATCAGACTTCACCACTCAATATGCAGGTTTTGGTAGTTGGGAGGTAGCTGTGTTATCTTCTACTCATCCAATCTTTCATGTTATAAGCTAGTTCTAGGATATGAGAAGGGTAATAACAATATATCTTGTGTATCGCTACAAAACCAAAATCTTATTTCTCATTCCTAGGTCACCTTGTTAAATCATTTAAGTAGGTTCCAATCTGCAAAACCAAAATCTTATTTCTCTTTTGTAAGCAAATTTGCTTTCTTGACAAGTGATTTCAACTTACCTTGTGAATGTTCCAATCTGAAAATAGCAAGAATGAATATAATAAAGCTGTTTACAGGCCACCACACATAATATTAGGCTCATCATGCCATTACGCAGAGACCGACTGTGGGCAGTGTGACAAGGGTGGAATATAACTCTCCAATGGGTGAACGAGTACAGGACTGGTCCGTGTACTTCACAAACAAAATAAATACAATAAACTTCCGGTTTCCAAGAACCTGAACTTCAAAGATTTCAAAATTTTGAACATAAAAAAGCAATTGCACTATATTGAATTAATAAGTGCATACCTAAATTTGTTTTCACTGATTCTCTCAGTCACCTTGAACTCAAAACCAGCAAACATTGTTGAAAGCTCACATACAATCCCTTTTATGACTTCCATTTTTTTTCTTAATTCTTCTTCCCTGGATTCTAGTAATAACAAATTGCTTTGCTTCTCCTCAGAAAGAGCAAGTGCCATCCTTCTTTGATGATTAGCTTCGTTCAACTCGTCCACCTTTTGTTTTGCTTCATCCCTAAATGCTTCAATTTCTATTAATGCTTGTAGCAGTTGACCCTTCACAAGATCTAATTTCACATCATTTTCAGAAGCTAAACTTTGCTGCTTGGTCACCTGTTCTCTTAGAAAATTCAGCTCTAGAGATACAAGGTCAAATTGATCCCTCTCCTTTGCTAATGCAGTTGAAATATCACTCGCCATTCTGTCTTTTTCGTCCAATGACTTCTTCAATGCAACTAGTTCTTCCTTCAACTTGATTTTCTCATCAGCCTCCAATGTAAACTCATTTTCCCTTTGAGAAGCTTGCAACTGTAGAGAAATTCGAGTCTCGCGTTCCTTTAAATACTCTCCATATAACTCTTTGATACTTTTTTCAAGAGTCACGATTGCTTCACCATAAATCACTGCATACATTTCTTGCATGATCAAGGACTCGCAGTCTGAATCTTCCATTTCAACTATGCAAGTGCTTTCAGCTTCTACACCAGCTTCTCTGGACATAGTATCATAAATTTCTTTCGACAAATGAAGCTGCATATGATCCCTCATGAAACATTTATATACTTCCTCTCTTATTGAAGATTCTATACCTACATCTTCAACGATCAAATTGAGATTGTCTACAAGTCTTTGCATTTTAGTTTCATCCATAGAGTGCTTAAGCATCTTCTCAGAAGCATCCGAAACCCTGGAGGAAAGACACTTCAATTCATTTTTCTTAATTGCTAGAGAATCTCTAAGACGACAGTTTTCAGAAAGAAGGCTTTCGAGCCTATTCTTCAAATTGCATACATTTTCATCCTTGCAGTGGATTGGAGGACATTTCTCATTCGCCAAAAGGATATCATCAAGTTTTGAAAGAATTTCTGGTATCTTTTTCCTGAGTACATCAAGTTCCTTGTCCTTCCTGTGTGACACATTTGAACCTCTTTCCCTAAGTCTTAGGAATTCTGCCTTTAGAGTAAACAATTCTTCTGTTTTTTCTTGCAAAATAGACTCATGGTCTCTCTTCATTTTTGTAATCATGTCACTAAAGTAGCTTACCAGAGCCTCCTTTGACAAGTGCTTCAACTGTGCAGCTTCAAAGCTGTGGGGGACATCAGTTCTTGAATGTTCTACTTTATCATTTCCCTCGTGAGACTTTGAAGACATACCATGGTCTCTTGAGATCTTATTGTGAAATCCATCCATATCATGTGATCCAAGAGATGTCAAATTCCCACCTTCTGTGCTAGACAATAATTTTAAAATACCAACCAAGTCAGCACGTAAGCTACGGATTTCGCTGAGCTTTTCAAGCTGCATGGCGCACATCTGAGTGTTTTGACCCCATATTTGGTTCTCAAAATCTTCTAGAAAACTCCTCCAAAGATTCTGTGTCACCATGTTCTCAACCTTTCTTTGCAGGTCTTTCTCCATTTTGAACTCAAAAAATGATACCTTTGACAATTGAAGTATGTCATCCACACAACCAAAGATACTATCAACAGTCGTTTCAAGGTTGTTTATTGTTTTGTCCACATGAACCCAGCTTTGAGATTCTTTTTCCGGGAGAATACCACCCAACCCAACCAACTCAGACCCAGAGCCTATCCTCCTGAGCGAGTTGTGGTCTTTGACCTCATACATGTCATTCTTAATTTTCTCAAACTGCTCTTTTACTAAATTTCTTAGCCCAGTCAAAGAGTCCATCTTCTTCCCATCCAAAGTAAATCCATCCAATAAGGCAATGTGTTGCGCACTTTCTGGATTATTTGATGATAACACATGTGATCCTCTAAACTCGACTCCATTAATTTCAGTGACATGAAAGTCAAAATGTTCTTTCAACTTGGCCATCTCCATTTCCTTGTCCCTGACTTTCTCTGCCGCTTCTTGTTCTACAGCACCCACCATCCCCTTAATGACAGAATCATTAACCATCCGTGACACCAATAACCGGCCATTAATGTCATCCCAGTACAAATCAAGATCCTGCAAAATATCATCACCCAAATTCATGCTTTCCGTTGCATCATCTGCCATTTGCTCCGATTCAGCACTGGGAAAAGAAGTTGCACCAACCCCATTTCCCACTACTCCGCTCTCCCTTAAGTCCTGGCTCCCCATTCTAAGGGGCAAGGTAATAATAGTTTCTGAACATAAAACGCAAGACTGATTTCAGGAAAAATGACAATATTGGAGCAGAGAATAATTCAGGCAAAGAGAGCTCCAGAAGGTCCATAGATACGAACTGGCCTACCTTAGCTGTGTTTTTCTCTTCTATTTTCGGAGAAAGGAAGCTTTATCCAAGATAAAATTAGGTAGAATGCATCCTCGAATGAATGAAAGGCTCTTTAGCAGCCACAACAGATAAATTGAAAACTATTATTATAAACTAAGAAAGAAAGGCTGCCCAAGTGTGCAAAAAAGGGGTTGAGCTGCGATAAACTCTGCAATAGAGCCAGAATTCCAACAGTCGGCGTCGAACCGCTCAAGCCCTCAGCCTGCAATAAATCCAAGAAAAAGTCCTAATGAATTACCTGTGCTATAATCGAAAGGCTATGAGCACGCACGCAGGTAACCAAATAAAGAACATCAACTAATGCTGGGACGCCTTCAAGTAGAGATTAGTTGAACTGCTGAATAGATAAACTCCAGTTCAATTAATTAGAGAGCAAATAAGGATTGATGCAATTGTATGACATACTATATATATACTCCGTATAAGATACTGGGAGCTTCTGGTATTCCAACAACGTCAGAGCACCGTTAACTAAGCTGCAGAATGGAACTTTAGGGTTTTGTACTGCAGCTGCACACTGTCAGCCTGACCAGCAGGAAATTGAACTAGGTAGGATGAGAAATGCGGTTGGATGTTTAAGTCTGGTCTGGTCTAGTCTAGTCTCAATTGGTCTGGTCTGGTCTGGTCTCTGTGTATTTTATAACTAAGAAATTTTGGTCTGGTCTGGTCTGTTTAAGCTTGGTCTAGTCTGGTCTAGTCTGTTTAAGTCTGGTCTGGTCTGTTCTGGGAATGAAAACAGTCCAAAAGAAAACATCTTTTGTACGGCATAGACCGAGTGTAAAAGTGCTCTTTTTACGCGCGGATGTGCAGGCAGGCCAAATTGTCTAGACAGATTTCCACACAAAAAAAAATTGTCTGTATCACAGACATTTTAAAATTCTCGTTTAAAATTCTCTGTATCACAAACATTTTATGAAAAAATCTTGTTTAAAATGTGTGTGATAGAGACAATTTTTTTTGTCTGTGTGGAAATCGATTTCTTCATAAAAAGCCGATCAAATTATCAGTATCACAGACATTTTATGAAAAATTCTCGTATAAAATGTCTGTGATGCAGACAATTTTTTATTTTTGTCTGTGTGAAATCGGTTTTCTTCATAAAACGCCGGTCAAATTGTGATACAGACAATCGTCGATGTACACAAGTGGGATGGTTTTCGTTTCATTTTTTTTGTTTAGGTTCAATGGGATTTGAAATGGGTTGAAAAAATTATCACCAAACAAAAGTCATATTGGGTACTCTTTTTCGATTGGTTCAGTTTGTTTGGTTCAGTTTAGAGTGTTATTTTTGAAAATATATGAAGTTTTTATTGAATTTCTTTAATTCGGTTCGATTTTGTTCAGTTTTTATCGGTTTCAGTTCGGTTCGATTTGGAAGAAATACTATCAAAGTCAAACCAAATTGCATGTAGTCTGGTTTTAGTTCGATTTGGTACGATTAAGTTCGGTTAAACCAAATCAATATATCCACCCCTATCGAGGTATGTATAGTATTTTTTGTGGAATTAATAATGAGAATAAAAATCTTATTTACGCACTAAATTTCCATGAGTAGAGTGTCATGATTATTGAGGCGTGTAATTTAATACAATTTATTATGATTAAAGTTATTCTATAATCATTACACTTAAGTGGTGACGATTGTATAAACATTTTTATGTAATTATAAATTTATAATTATTTTATCAATAATACAAAAAATTAAATTATTTGATTTTAATTAGCAGCGGCTTTATTCCAAGAACAAAATTTTACTTTTCTATTTCAAAATAAAGGAACTAAAAATATTATCCTCGTTTTAAATTTACTTTTATCCGAACACAAAAGAAAAATGGCCCCCATATTACTATGAATGTTTGCATTTTCAAAATTATAACTCTTTTTTTAAAAAAATCCCCTAAATGTGTTTTTAATTAATGGACTCTTCTTAAGTATAATTATTTTATCCATCCCCATTAACATCCATTATATTCCTAATGTGAAACCCTGCCCATTCCCTCAAATCTCCATCTCACCTTCTCACGTTGCCTCCATGGTCTATGCACAAACACTCATCTCTCGCCTTCTCGCACTACACAGCGACGGAATCTGCGTTTTGGCTTTTCTCCTTCGAGTGATCTCCATCCTTTTCCTCTCTTACATTTTTTCTCGTTCATTATTCAACTCCATTTTCAACAACAACATGCTTTATAACTTTGTACATTGTCTTCATGCCTTCATGGTGGGTTTGGGTCGCTATAGTTGTGGAAGGGTCGCATTGGGTAATTTTTAGTCACTATAAAGGGCGCGTGAAAGGCGTGAAGTAATTGATTTTGGTCTTTGTGATATCTGATAGTAGTCGCTACGAGTTGTGGTCATTGAGGGGCTTTGGGTGGAAGAGCAATGCCTAGTTATCGGTAAAAGGGGTTGACGAATTGAGGTGATGATTGACATCTTTGAATGTTTTATTGTCACTAACTGTATTTTGTAAGTGAAGGGGTGATAATTAGAGATAAAGTATGTGTGGTGGATGTGGTCACTAATGTATTTGTGATGACCAGTGACATCACCGTGTTGAGGTCATGGCGGAAAGATACCTTAACGGCAGCGGTATGTAGAGTCATTATTGAATACAAGTTATTTGGTTTTGGGTTTTTTATTTTCTCTAAAAATCGAACCGAACCAAATAAATCAGACTTTTAAAAATAATCTATTTTATTTATTAATCATTAAGTAAATTTGGTTTAGTTCTCCATTAATTCTTAATTCATAAAAGTTAATGTCCGATACTAGATTTATTATGACTTTTAAGATATTGATATTTGATATGTATTTTTTAATTAAGTGAAACACTTGTAAGTACACTTTAGTCTCTTGCTATAATACTAATATATAGTAATTTAAATAGTACTTTACATGTTTGCATGTTGTTCCATGGCAATGATATCTAGTCTTTATATTATTAGTTACTTTTGTTCTTTATTACTCCGTACATAAGTTTTTTATGGCAGAGAAATGTGTATTCGTCTAAACTATACTTGACACAACATCTATATTATTATTCATTTATCTTTAAACAACTAAACACGGAATGTGAAACTTTAGAACATATGTACATTTGTCTAAAAAATGTGGAATAAGGTACTTCAAGTTATTTACCATCAATAAAAAAAATCTTTTAGTAAAAAGGAAAATGAATCAATGTACACAATCTTTACCAATAAAAATGTAATGTGATGCTACACTATATATATTTTGTTTATAAATTTATGCATTTGATTATTTTAAAATGTTTAATGAGATATAACTCTCTAATTTGTTGTTTGGAAGTGCATTTGTGTGTCCTCTCTTTTTTAATTATGTTTTTGTATCAAATTGTAATTCAATATTGTTTGATGTAGGTTTGCCTTTGTTTTTGTTTACCAATTATTATGTTTTTAAATCAAAAATAATATTCTGGCAAAAAATTGAAAAAATCGAAATTGAACCGAAATAAGTCAAACATAACAAACCGCGATTTCCTTTAAAAAAAACCGTGATATCAAATTTTTAAAGATTAAACCGAATCAAACTTAAATTTTTACATTAATTTGGACATTTAGTTGTAGGCCATAACCAAATCGTTTGAACTGATTTCACCTCTAATTGCATGAAACCCATGTTAGGGAACATGGACTCTTACACTTTATTAATGGAAGACAAATTAATTAATTTAATTATGAGAAGTGATAGCAGATAACTTATTTTATAAAGAAAAATCAAACATAAGAGTTTAGAAAAACAAGTTAGTCTATATTAATGAAAAAATAACCAAGCATTCCTGCTCAACTGGTTGTGAGGTTACCGTGCCTAGTGGGTGTAGAATTCCAGCTCCCAGCAAGCCCACTCCATCCTCCATACCATTGGATGGTCTTCCATCTCCTGCCCACTAAAGAGAAGCATGGAGAGGCATGGAGAGGAGGCATGGGTTGTAGCATGGGTTGTAGCATGGGCACCAATGAATATGTCTCCAACCTTGCCTATAAATAGGATGCTCTTCCATTGTTCAAAGGCATCAAAAATTCAGAGTGAAAAGTAGTGAGAGTGATACACATAGAGTGGGGGTTGGTTTTTCGTAATAGTTGAGTGAGAGAGGTGTTCCTCCTATTGTAATTCTGTTCTGCTTATGAATATGAGAATTTTCCAATCCTAACAAGTGGTATCAGAGCCATGTTAATCCAGAAACCCAGATTTCTTCATTCTGCCTGAATTTTTGGTCAAAATTTTTTGTTCCAGAATCTTGTTTTGAGGCCACCATTAGAAAGCTCTCGTTATGAGGATTCCAAAAATAGATGTTTCGGAATTTTTTGACCACCGGAAGGCCTCCAAACGTCCGGTCAAAATTTCTCTCTCCTGCTAATTATTACCGCTGCAATACTGCAGTCCGCCGACAGACTCGTCTGAGGAGACGACCAGCCAGCACGCCACGTCATCGCCATGTCATCTCCACATCACGCCACGTCAGCGCCCAATCACTTGCCACATCACCATCGACTGACCGGTTGGACCACCTGTCTTGGCCACGTCATCAGCCACGTCAGCGCCACGCCATTGCCACGTGGGTGCCACGTCATCAGCCTGGCTGGCTGGCCACTGGTTTTGGCCAGAACCGGTTTGATTCGATTCGTGGTTCAATACTCCGGTTCACGCTCTTCCCGGCCGGTTCTTGAAGAGGTGAGACCGGTACCCACCATTTTTGGCCATTCCGGATTCAACGGTGTGCTCCGTCTGGCCTAATTCAGCTTCCAAATTGAGGTACGGGAATAAGTGTACATTTTTATCATGGAAAAGTCATCTTCGGATACAATGATTGCGCTCACTTCTACAAATTACAACATGTGGAAACCTCGGATGGAGGATTTGCTAAATTTGAAAGATTTAGCAGATCCTCTTGATAATAATGGCGTCAAACCAGATAAAAAGACGGATGAAGAATGGGCTAAGATAAATAGAAAAACTGTCGCACAAATCCGACAGTGGATTGATCATAGCGTGTTCCATCATGTTTCTCAAGAGCAAAGTGCTCACACACTGTGGGAGAAACTTAGTAGCATGTACCAAGCAAAAACTGCTCGGAATAAAGCGCTGCTGATGAGACGGTTAGTGAACCACAAGTTATGCGGTGGCATTTCTGTGTCGGAACACACGAGTCAGTTCCAGGATCTTGTGAACCAATTGACACCAATTTCTGTGTCGGAACACACAAGTTATGCCATCGCAGGTCAACAGTGATTCAAGCCCAGCCGAGTCCTCCCTTGTCGCCAGTCTGATTCTCCTCGCGTCAAGCAAGGTTCCAGCTCAACGTCTATCTTTGTCCACCATTAACAGCCGCCTGAGACTTATTGGAGTATTGGGAGTGCTTGAGGTCATCTCTCTCGCAGAGGTCAGAGCTACCCGTCTCCTCCGATCCAGCAACATGAGGGCTCATCACTTTACCTCGCCGGCAGCGGCAACGGAGGGTATATCCTCCCTCCTCAACGCACAAGTGTCTGACGGCCCCACAAGTGATAGCGACGACTGCAATTGAAGCTCTACCTGCTAATCAATGGCT